TAAGAGGAGTTAAGAGGAGTTAAGAGGAGTTAAGAGGAGTTAAGAGGAGTTAAGAGGAGTTAAGAGGAGTTAAGAGGAGTTAAGAGGAGTTAAGAGGAGTTAAGAGGAGTTAAGAGGAGTTAAGAGGAGTTAAGAGGAGTTAAGAGGAGTTAAGAGGAGTTAAGAGGAGCTACTCATCTACTCAAAAATGCTTTTTGAGTGTCTCAGCTTGGCAAAGAAGTACTTTTACCCTTTATGATTTTGATTCCAGTTTAGGAATGAGTAGCACTTTTTGTACAAGCATTTTTTGAAAAAAATAAATAAATCAGCAATCTTTTCAGAATTTCAAACAAATTTAGAATCGATTTCCTTACATTTCTAGCTCATTGAATATTGATGAGTTGGTCAATAACTCTTGATGACTTGATGAGTTGGTCAATAACTCAATGAATATTGATGAGTTGGTCAATAAGTTGACAAAAGAAAGGTGAATTGGTAAAGTCAGTCGGGTATTGGGGTAAGGGAATGAATGAGCAATGGATGTACATTATAAGTTAAGCTATAATGTGTTTGATTTATAAATATAATTATAAATATAAAAATTTTGCGTTTACTCAATGATCTGAATCAGAATCTTTCCAAGAAATCGTCTTAAACAAATGGTTGAGAGAATAGATGAGGAAAAAAGGGGGAAACGATGAAAAAGTAAAGGAAAAGTAAAGGAAAAGTTGAAAAAGTAAAGGAAAAGTTGAAGAATTGAAAGAGATTGAGAGATGAGAAAGATTTTTATGGGAAAAGTGTGAAGAAATGGGGTAAGTTGATGAGAAAATTGCGAAAGATTTGATTGGTGAGTAATTTGGAAATGAAGGATAAATGAGAATGGGCGAATTGAGTCCAATAATTGAATGATGAGGTAAAGAAAGGCGAGAGAATGAGAGCACAAAAGATATAGAGTAAAGTAAAAATATAGGTATGAAGAAAGTTGGTAAATGGAGGGAAAGGTGTGAAGCTGTGAAGCTGTGAGGTGGGTAAATAGATCTGGGAGGGGGGCAGGAGGATCTGTGGAGAACCGCAAATCAACGACTCCCTTTCCCGGTTCGTTTCGTTCAATGATTGCCTCTCGATTTTTTCTAAGATCAATCCCAATCCCTTTGTCTGAGTCTGACCACAATGCACAAGGAATCATTGTGAAATCAACACTTGAACAAAGCCTAGAATAAAACAAAGCTTGAACTTTGCCTTTACCTGATCAATCTACCAAAGTTGAACAAATGCTTTAGCTTTAGCAAAGGAAGAAGAAAAGAGAAGAACAGAAGAACAGAAGAACAAAAGCTTTAGCAAAAGCAAAAGCTATTCAAAAGTACATTCAATACATTCAAAAGTAAACCAAAAGTCATCCAGATTGAAATCTGAATTGTTTACAAATATTTTTCTTCTAGAATTGACTTTATTTTTTTCAAAAATTGAATGTTGCCCGTTTACAGATTCCCTGGTAAACAGGGAATCTGTAAACGAAAACAAAGAAATCGAATACAATAAACAATAGATTGAAGGGATTGTTTGTGACAGATCTGTGTCTTCATCTATTGAAAAGAAATAAACAGTAGAAAAGATTCTTTGATATCTGAAATAGTTCAATGTGTTGAAGGGATTCAGTTGAAAGTTTAAAGATGTTTAAAAACATCTTTAAGGTGTCTGAGTCAAACAAGAGAACTCTGCTCATCTCAACAAATATCTCAAAGGGTTATAAAGGCAGAGAAATGGGCACTTCAACAGACTTTTCTGTGAAAATCCCATGTTGTACTTTGTTTGAAACACTCAAAACCTTCTTTCTTTCACCCTCGAGAAATTGAACTATCTTTTTTTGAGTTGAAAGGGAAAGGAAAAAGTTGTGAACTTGATTTTGTGGGGGAGTTGCACGAAAAATGCACGCACGCACACACGCACACACGAAAAACAACGAATAGGGAAATGGAATGAGGGAATAAAAAGTGTTCGCTTACAAATAGCTTTGATATGGTTTGCCTTACCTGGAAAATAAACCTTATTTAAAATTCTCAAAATATAGCCTTTTGGCTGAGCAGTAGTTGGACCTATAGTTGGACTCGATTTTTGAGAATTAAGGTTTATAAATTAAGGTTTATTTTCCACGTTAATAGTAAGGCAAAGCATATCAAAGCTATTTGTAAGCGAACTTCGCCTTTTGGCTGAGCAGCAGTTGGACCTATAGTTGGACTCGATCTTGGATTAATCGTAGGGATTTGTAGCCAAGACTCACAATGGTACTATTGGGTATAAACATTGGGTATAAACATTGGGTATAAACATTGGGTATAAACTAACCCAATTTACTATTGAGTTAGTTTATAGGCCAAAGTTCATTCTTTGAACTTTATCAAATTCCTTTCTAAAAAATGAATCATTTTATGGATAAACTTTCAGAAAAGAAAAAGAAAAATGCAATATTTAAAGGGATATTTAAAGGGATATTTAAAGGAATATTTAAAGCAATATTTAAAGCAATATTTAAAGCAATATTTAAAGCAATATTTAAAGGAATATTTTCAATTTCCGTGTAAAAGGGCTTCGAAATGTGCACGCTTTTCCAATATTTCTGATTTTCCATTTTTCCATTTTTCCTTTTTTAGGAAGAAAAACGATTTTGGTGCAATCACGTGGTTTTTCTTTTCTTTTCTCTTTTCTCTAGTTTTTCTAGTCTAAAGCTATTGCTTGTTTCCCCCCAAACACATGACTCAAAAAGAATTCTATGCAGTAAGAAAATTTCTCGAGAATCTCGTGATTTGAAATTTGCAGAAAATATGCGAAAATTTACAGTAAACAAGTGCTGAACAAAGGAATTGATCAGACAAAAGATATGCAATCTCTTTAATCAATTATAACTAAGATATTTCGATCTAGATTGAAAGCCAAGTCAGGCTCAGATCTATCTTGAGTCCAGGTCCAACTGCTGCAAGATTGTATCTGGACTCGGGCTCTGGATTGCCTGGCTAGTACAATATTTTGTGTTGATCAAGTGTTTTGCAATTTTTTTCTGAAACATTCGATCAATGGTAGGCAATAGTTTAGTTTAAAAGAGGATCTATAAAAATAGCTATTAACTAATTCTTAGAAAGAATGGCACTAGAAAAAGTTTGAATAGACGAGGAACAGAAAATTTGCGTTTAAAGGAAAGAAATTCGATGAATCATTTCGATTTTGTTATTCTTTTCCCATCAAAGGACGAGGATTTTACATTTCAATGGAGAGATTCTTTTCACAAATATTTTGTTGAAAAATGAAGACTCTATCTTTTTGTATCAATCTAAAAATGCTGTAAAAGTTTTGCAAAAAAAGTGTCTGCTTTTTAAAACTACAATAATCTGATAAAGGTAGGGTTTAAAGTAACTGTAACTGAGGTTTAAAGTAACCGTAGCATAGATTCAACTTTCTAGTTTAATCTATGCACTAAGAATAGGGTAAAGTTTATGTAGTTTTATTCAATTTAAGCTTGTTCTAATCTCGGAGTTAATTGAATGATACAAAGTGCATAGATTAAACTAGAGACAGGATTATGATAGCTTTAGAAAAGGGACAAGTTTTAAAAAAAGCGTTGATTCAAAGAAACTCACCATCTACTGTAATGATATACACTACTGGACAATGAAATATGATATTTGAAAAAAGATCGTCACTTTCGCGCGTCTGTAACTCCCTTGTCTTTACCGCATTTCTAAATATTAATATTACCATTGTGTAGCACTTGAAAAGAGCTTTCAGAAAATGTATAACACTAATAGTTTAAACTCAAAGACAAGGGAGTTACAGACGCGCGAAAGTGACGATCGTTTTTCAAATATCATATTTCATTGTCCAGTACTGTATATAGCCGTTTATGAAATTCGTATTCGTATGTCGTAGTCGCTTACGAAATTCAGCCGCTAACGAATCATTCGTTAATGGTTACCCGTTGACGAATGAAAGTTTTCGCTAGCCTTTTACGAATGATCGGCTAGCCGCTAACGAATTTGTTTGTTATAAACGTTAAGAGTAGACGTTCAAAGAGTAGACGGCTCAGGCTAGGAGAACTCTAAAGTCTGAGGCGTCTACTCTTTGAAGTGTTTCTCACAAATCATGGCTTTCATTTTCTTGTGTGCAATGATTTTTCGAGAGTTAGATCGAAATCTATACATGTTAAATGTTATAAATTTTATTTCACTTCTTGTGATTCGTTGATTAGTTTGCGTTTTGCATAAATAGCTTACAAATCATTTGTTAACGGCTAGCGAACATGGCTCGATTCAAAAACTCATTTGAATCGATCCATTTTCGCAGAAAGGCTATTGCAAATTGTACACGGCTAGCGAAAGCTTCATTTGTAATCGGCTAGCCGTTAACAAACGATTTGTAATCGGCTAGCCGTTAACGAATCATTTGTTAACGGCTACGACATATATATTATGAAATGTTACAAGTCTGTAAGTAATAAGAGAACTCTAAAGCTTGAGCCGTCTACTCTTTGAAGTGTTTCTCACAAATCATGACTTTCATTTTTTTTGTGTGCAATGATTTTTCGAGAGTTAGATCGAAATCTCTCCTCACTCACTCATCAGAAAGCACAAATTGATGAAAAGGTGTGAAAAGAGATCAGAAAAAACGCTCACAAACTATCGGCCACTTGAAAGGGTCAAACGGAAAAAAAAAGGGAAAGACTTGATCTCGATGATTTTCTGCAGAAAAGATTTGAAGATTCGATTGCTCTATCTTTGGCCTCTTCAACTTTTGGTAGATATCTCAATCATTCTCCATTCATTCCCACAATTCAGATCAAGTTGAGTGGCACTATTTATAGTTTTTTGTACTCAAAAAACTCGATTTTGCGGCTTTGTCTCTATTTTGTCTCCCTTTTGCCTCTATTTTAGCCTCAAAAAAACTCTATTTTGCGGCTTTATCAATGGCCAAACTCTGCTCCTCTTTCCCAACACCAAAATTTATTTACACAATTGAAAATGAATGAATAATCAATTAATGACAACACTTCCGACAAATTTCACATTGTATCTGGTGGTTAAGCGTTGGATGAAATCATTTTTGACGATGTTCAATGTAAAACGAGTCGCTTTTAGATTCATCACCGTCACCGTCAATTGATGGTGGTACACCGTATAGATCAAAGCTGAAGTTTGTGATCAGAGCTAATAGTTGTCGTGTACTTTGTGCTTGAACACGTAAACGTATCTCTTCTGGGAACACGTAAACGCATCTCTTCTCAAGCGATTGGATAATAGAAATGGAAAATTGAGTATACTAGAAAAGAGGTGTTTCTACAAGCACAAAGTCCACGTCGAACTCGAGATTTTTGTGTAAAAGAATTAATGAATTTAATGTGCGAGAAAGGATTTGTTTTGTTTTTGTTTCGAGCACAAAGTACGCTTGAAAGTGTTTTGCGAGTTCTTTCTGTCTGTCTGTCTGTCTGTTCGTCTGTCCGTCTGTCTGTCTGTCTTACTCGTGGCTCCAGGTGCAGTTTGTGTGAGCGCTCCACCCTCAACTTTTCCATACAATGGCCCAGTGCCTGTCGTTTTCCCGTCTGGATTCTCTACCTGAAAATCTTTAGAGAATAAAAGATTTAGATAATCAGTTAAGCAATTATCAGTTAAACTTCGAGGTTTTAAGAATTTAAGAATTTAACCTGAATCGGCGTCCAATCGTTGTTGACAACGATGCCCGGGAGAGGAACTTGTGATTCCATCAACGATTCTAGCATCTAAATCTTTGGTTTTGTTTTGTTTTGTTTTTGGTTTGTTTTTGGTTTGTTTTTGCTTTCTTTTTGCTTTCTTTTTGCTTTCTTTTTTAGTTGTTTAGATTCAGTTATAGGATAGATTTTCAGAATCGAATTATCTTCAACAAACCGCAGCTTCGATCTCATTTGTGGCTCGTTGCTTTGCTTGAGTTGTATCGTTTGATTGACCAATGAAAAACCATGGATTTTGTGTTGGAGCCGTGGCTCCACTTGGCTAAAATTATTGAAAAATTCATAGATCAAATTAACAAAAACAGTCGAGTTAGGTTAACTCACCAAAATCGGGAAAAAAGTCCATCCGACTGGCGGGCTGATCTCCATTGTGAAGGCCGGGTTTGTGACCAATTCGAAATCGTTGCCATTTCCTGTAAAAAAAATAGAATCAGCAACATATTCCATTACAGCACACTTTCTAAAAGGCACCAATTTTGAAAACTACGGTGCTCATACATTCGATCAGCTCAATTGTATCATTGACTGACAAGGGAAGGTCAATTGGATATGCTGGCCAAATCATATAAAGCATAGATTATTCGACGCAGAATTTCACGCTGATCATGATGCTGCTTTTCTTTTCTTCTACGGATCACTCTGTCAAAAGTTGTACGCGTTTAAAGTTTTGTAAGGAGTTTCAGAAATCAAACCGCGACCTTACAAGCCTGTCTTCCACAATTACGCTGCATTAGGCTAGCAATTACGGCGGTGGTGGGGTGGTAGTGAGTTAGGACGGGAGGACGGGAGGTCACTGGTTCGAAACCGGTGGCTGATTGTTTTTTTTCTTTTTTAGGTTTTAATGCCTTGTAATGCCTCATCAAATGATACCAAAAGCGGCTGATTAAATGAAAAACTACGGTAGTTTTCTAAAATAGATGTATTTCAGAAAAGATATTACTTAAGTGATGATACTCAACGCATCATATACAATACATGGGCTTTTTTGTAGCAAACAGCTCTTGTTTTCTAAGGCTCGAAATAGCATTGTATGTATAGCTCTAGAAATCAAGAGCTGTTTTCTAGAACGTGGAACTGGCTCGTTATCTACAAAAAAAGCCCATGTCTAATATGTAACTCTAATATGTAAATCTAATCTGTAACTCTAATCTGTAACTCTAATATTTAACTCTAATATGTAACTCACCACCCGCACATCCGTGACCCAAGTGACCAAGCGTGAGCAAAACGAGAAGCACGCCAAATGACAAAACAAGATCTTTGATCATCGTTTCTATTAGATTAGAATTAGAAATTTAGCCTTAAGCTTGATATCGATGCTGTGAAGTTGAGAAATGTTTGTGGGAGTTTGTCAGGAAAACGATTTGTTTGGTCTTTCGTTACGTTACGATTACGATTACGACCCAGTGATCTGTTGTGCTGCTCGTTTTCCGCTCATTTACAACCATTATAGAAAAAGCCTCAAAATTTGCATTTCTTTCTGTTTTCTTTTGTACAAAAATTTCGAAATAGAATTGTGTATTTATCTTTGAGTTGAACAATTTGAATAAAGGAAAGGAAACTTTGAAGATTGAACAAATTGATTGGTTTTTACGAGAGCTCAAATCCACGCACCAAATCGTCGAGATGGACGTTTTTACGTCTAAATTTGATTTAAAATTCTTGCATACAATGACAATTACAGTACACCACAGTTCAGCATTTAGTGTATTTTCCTTTAGTACACACTTACAGTACACTGCTGTACGAGCCGATGTGAATGAAAAGATTTGTGTCGGTGGATCGGCCGACGAACTTTGAAGAGTCAAGGATTTTGTCCTGAACATTGTAACTTGAAGATTTCCGGGTTATTCACTAACCTTTGGTAGCTGAATATTTCCAGGAATTTTGCTCAACTCCGAGACGATTTCGGCGATTCGACAAGTCCTTTAAATGGAATTCTTTTAGTTTATCCGATAAAGTAAAGAGATGAATGGCAAAGAGGAAGCGAAGGGAGTTGAACCCTCGACCTTCTGCTTACCAAGCAGATGCTTTACCACCGAGCTATCAGCGCCTACCGTAAATACTGTAACCTACCCCCATAATGACGGTGCGGAGTGTTGTGTAGACTAGCTTTGAACGAGTTTTTCTCGACACTGATTTATGTTACAATGCGCGCTTAGGTATCAAAAAATAGCTGAAATTCAGGGCTATTTTTTGATACCAAAGATGTATTTTTTGAAAGTACGGGTGCTTTGAAAAAAATGAAATACTAAAAAACTTTTGCGACTACGCGACTGTACGAGGGGGGTGGGGTACTATTACAGTATTTACGGTACTTTACCCAAGAAAAAATAGGAAAGACAAGGAAGAAGACAAGCTCACTGACCTAAACAAAACCGCTTGCGTACAGCAAGATTTCGGGTACGACAAGTAGACACCGCCTGTGAGAAAATATCGAAAATCAGCCGCGAGCTAATCACTATTTTTGAACGTTTCATTGCACTTTACCTGCGCTCCACCGATGATCCAAATCCCTTCATAAAGAATGAAACATGTTAGAATCAAAATGGGAAAAACGATTGATCGCCTTTGTGTAAACTTTGGACCATTAGGTGACCATTGAATGAAAGATGAAAGATAGAGGAGACACCATGAAAAAGAAAGGGAGATAATGAAAATCTGAAATGAAAATGAATCTGAAGCTTGTCAAAGATCATTGTGTAACTAACTAACTTACCAGAAACACTGCCGGATTGCCGCATTTTCTGGGTGGATAATAAAGTTTGACATAATCGATTGAGTCATGAGATTTTAGATGTGAGATCACTGACTAAAGAGATTGAGAGATTGATAGAAAAAGAGATGATTCAACTTGGATAAGTTTTGCAAATTCTAGAGTCGCCACAGCGTCATCTTCAAGCAAAAGAATGAATCTGAATGGAATTTTAAATGGAATTTTAAGCAAAAATTCATTTATTTCCTTTAAAAGTAACAGGAAATTTGAATAGATTTTACTTACGGTGAATGTCGATCACTATTTTGCAAACATTTCCAATAATCTCGTGCCTCTTTTTCCAATCGTTGATCCAAGCTTTCGGTGTCGTATTGAATTTTCTCTAGAACCTATTTTTCATAGTCTTGCTTAAAGGAAAGTATTCTAGATTTTATTCTAGATTTTTACTCTTTACCTGATACATTGAAAATGTTGATATGATCTTGAATCTCTTTGAGAAACTCGTTGTATCGCTGATCAACATTGCAGATTTCAATATATGGCCTGGCTTTGTTCCCATACTCACCGAAAAGATAACCGATGCTCTGAAATAGTTATTGTTTAGGTTTAAGAAGTTGTAGGAATTCAGCAAATATTGGCCTTTTTCAAGAACAGCAAAAAGCTTTTCAACTTTTAAGGCGTAGAAAAAAAAGTAGGTATTTGATGTAAAACTAAACTAAGCTAAGTAAAAGTAAAGTAAATGTAGTGCTAAAAGTGTTGTACTGTCGAAATCGTACTGTAACAGTTTAAAGAGTATCCAAAGTAGGCAAAATGCTAGCGGATATTTTGAGATCAGCTCTATTATACTTGTCTCAAACTAGAACAATTCTTCTTATTACTAGGGTTTTCAATAACTTCGTTAGTACCTGAATCAAATAATTTTGAGGTCTATCAGTGGTGATGATGGTGATCGAAAAGTCAAACTGAATTGGACCTTTTTCGTTTTTGCGGAAAAGTACTCACAAATCGTTTTTCATTTTCACGATATAATTGAAAGAGCTCCCGAGCTTCTCGTACACGTTTCTCTTGCAAACCTTCCAAATTTCCATTGTAGGACGCCGGGAAAAAGAAATCTTCCGATGCTGAAATAGCAATGATTAATGATTCAATTTCTTGTGCTCCCCGTCAATTCAAACTTTTGAGATTGTGCATAAAATTCACCAATAGTCGGCAGAAATGCCTTCAAAATCGATATCAAGAAAAGGGAACTGATGAGCCCGAGAAATAATCGAACTATTTGATTCTTCCATAACATTTTAAAGAATACATGCTAGATGATTCAATAAAAATAGTGTGAATAAGTTGTTCACTAGTAAAAAGCGATGTTTTCTTCGCTCGGTTCCGTTTTGATTTATCAGTGTGTTGAGTCAGAGCCACTCGCCGTAAAGCAAGAAAGAGAAGAAACGATTGATTGAGAAGTGATAAGGAAGACTTGTATGCATTCAAGAATTAATGCTTGGACTGTAAAAAACAGTATTTCGTTTTTCCACCAATTTTCCCAATCGACCTTTCTTCAACCATTGCCGTTTCAACACTCGACAATCATAGAATATCCACGATTGATCATGAGTCACAATATTGAAAAGAGGAAACCGACCGCATCGATATTCGTTCAGTAGTTGACGGCATGACCGCGCTCTTTGGCCCTTAATCGAATTTTTCAAATGATAGGGAATTTGCCGCTGTTTCAACCACTTTCTTCCGGTTTTTTGAGCCAACGCCATACTGTCATTCTTCAGTAATAGCTTTGTGCCAAAATCCGAGTCGTTCCTTCGGGATTTTGCTGAAGTTGGCGCCTCAACGTCTGTCGATTCACTTTTCTGGGACGATCGCTTCCTCGCTTTCGTGTGAGCCGGTTGTCACCTTTTCGGAACTTCTGAAACCACCATCGTGTAGTCCTTTCCTTGACGATTGTTGGCCCATAAAAGAATTGATTTCTCTCGCTGCTTTGGCCGCGGAAATCCTCTTCAAATATCATTGATGGATTATTGATGGATTTCTTTACGAGACAGCGACATGTGATCGATCACAACTTTTTTTGTTTTTGATTCCTAAAAAAGAGAATTTAGCACATAAAACTAGAATTGTAAAGCAGTATAATAAAAAAAAACAGAAAGAGAAAGTGTTAATTTGTCGCTGAATACGAATCAAATGAAAAAAACCGCAATTTTTTATGGGACAACCTAATACCTGAATCAAATAATTTTGAAATTATCATAGAAAATAAAAAAAGCGAACAGTTTACTTGAAAGCGGTTAAAAAAATAAAAAACGCACATGGGGACACTTGTGGGGAGGGTACTATGGGGACACTCGATAGGGACAGTTGGGGGCGGTACTTCAAAAGTATAATAGCTGGAGTGAAAAGTTAAGTTGTGCTTTGAAAGTATATTGATTGTGGGTAATACTGTAAGTATCACAGACTCGTTGCAAGAGTGTCACACCTCACTATCAATAGAACTTTGATTTTGGCTTCAAAACGCGCAATTTTCTTGAAAATCAAACTTTGTGCCACTCGTGTATGATACAGAAGAGTAAAAAAATGTTACAACAACTCAAATCTGGAACTTCGCAGCGCTTGTTCTTTTTAAAAATAAAAAAATTAAAAGTTTGCTTTATATAGGTGAATAAGTCAGTGGACAACACAATAAAAGGATTTCCATCGAATGACTGAATATCAATAAGTTTCTAGGGCAATTGGAGGACCGAAAAACAAAAGAATCGTTGTTTTTTAACTCGTCTTAATTCGCTGTTGGTTTTCTTGGATAGTTGCGCTGCGCTAGATCTTTTCATTTTCTCGTTGCTGTTTTATGAAACTCTTTAACCTCCAAAACTATTCTGATTGGATTCTATACTTTTCTCACCAAAGCGCACTCGAGAGTAAGCCGATCCCACTCTAGCTATTCTGTTACCTTTTTGCTCTTTTGCTCGTTCATGGTTTCTTTCGATTGTTTAAACTATCGCGAAAGTTAGTCTTTTTGACAATTCGTTTTCAAACATAGAAAACAACGAAGGACAAGTGAAATCGCAAGGATCGATGAAGGAATCGTCTTCGGGTCAAGGGACTTCGCTGCAACAGGTCGCATCGAATCTTCGCACCATTCAACCGGCGCTCTTCGTTCGGGATCTGAATCAAAGCAAGACCGGTGTCTTTATTTTTGTAAATCACCGACTTGAACTTTGTTGAGCTTATAGTCTTGAACTGGAACATTAGGAAGATTATAGCCTTGTCCTGCAACTTGTTTTAATTTTCTTATGTTAGGCACGCGTGGAGCCATCAGCGACTCATTGGCCAACTATGTGCGCATCGTGACTCATCCATTAAACCAAATGCTGCAATACCACGTAAAGTTTGAGCCGATCGTTGACTCAAAGGCTTGCCGCGAAGAAATGCTGAAGGTGATCGGCATTTTCGACTTTGTGATCTTCGATGGTGCAATGTTGTACGCTCCGAAGGCTTACAAGTTTCAGGTATTGAAGTAGATAGCTAGGTAGATTTATAACGTTTAATTTTAGCCTTCTTACGTGACTCCTCATCCCAACACTGAGGAAAACATCAAGGTTTCGTTCAAGGTGACAATGGAATTTGGACACGACAACCCACAAGCTCTACACGTTTACGACTTGCTGATTCGCAGGCAGTCTTGATATTAATTGGACAATGGGTTAAATAATTTTAGATGCATGAAAGCAACAGGACTCATCTCGGTCGCTCGCCATTTCTTCGACCCAAGACGCAACGTGTCTGTGGATCAATATGGAATCGAGTGCTGGCCTGGATACTTCACGGCAACGCGTTTGCATGATGACGGACTGATGGTTTGCATTGAAAACCGCTGGAAAGTCTTACGCAAGGATACGGTTGCTAGCCAGGTATTGCTTTGATTCATATCACAGTAATGTTCTTAATTTAGATGGTGCAAATTCTACGCAGAACCGGTGGAGTGAACGAGCGTTTTTGGTGAGCCTTTTTTTTGAAACGATTAAAAACTTCCTCAGGTCCGAATGTGAGCGTCTCTTCGCGAATCAAACCATCATCACTCCATACAATCACCGAATGTATCGCCTCACCCGTGTGGAGCCGGAAATGCACCCTTCATCAACATTCACTTTGGGAAGCGGTGAAGAACTGACGTTCGCGGAATACTTTCAGCGACAATACAACTTGCAAGACATCGACATGGAGCAGCCACTTTTGGTAACTGAATCATTTTTGATACTCGTTCTAACATCAAAAGTTTTAGGTCTCTGAAGGCAAACCAAAGCAACCGGGCGAGCCTCCACAGAAGACGTATCTCTTGCCTCAATTCTGTCGACTCACTGGAATCACGGACGATATGCGAAACAACATGAGCATCATGCGCGCGATGTCACAAGTGACCCGTCTCACACCAGAAGCTCGTCTCAAGATGACACAAGGATGGCTTGAGCAAGTGCGAGAGAATCCGGAGCTTCAGCGCCTTTTCCAAGCCTGGGAATTTGAATTGGATGGCGAAATTATTCATTTCCCAGCTCGCGTCTTGCCAGAAGAAAGAGTAGGCTTGTACAATGTTGATATAAATTGTTTCATGTTTTAGCTTTATGGTGCTCGCCCAGATGGTTATGTGGGGCAAAACGCTGAATGGGCTCGATTTGTCAAGCAGAACGGAAACTGTGTTAGCAAAAACCTCAAGGATTGGATTCTGGTGGCACCGAACGTTGGTCCGCACGCATTTGAAGCTGCCAATAAGTTCATTGGTTGGTTGTTTAAAGTTTGCTTTATATTCCTATATTTAGCTGAATGTAGAAACCTTGGAACCCAGCTTGGCATGCGAATCAATGGTAACACGCCAACCAGCTAATTGTGTAATATCTTTTTTTAGAGCCTACCTGTGTGTCAGTCAACTCTCCTGATCCAACCGACTACAATCAAGTGGTGAAAGAGGGAGTGCGACGAGCTGCTGAAGAAGGAAGAAAAGTTGAAATGGTGGTCATCATCCTCGTCGATGACAACAAGACGCGCTATGATTCGATGAAGAAGCTCGTTTGCCATGATGTTCCAGGTTTTTATTAAATTTAAGTTGTCAGATAGCTTGTTTAGTGCCGAGCCAATGTATCAAACTGCAGACACTTATTGGTCGCTCTACGGACGGAATCAACCGGCAATTCGGCTCGATTTGCCTGAAGATCCTTCTCCAGATGAACTGCAAGATGGGTGGTGCTGCATGGAGGATCAAAATTCCGGTATCAAACAAGTATTAGATTCTAACTCTTCTTCAGTTGAAAAAGGCGTTGATCATGGGCTATGACCTCTACGCGGATTCCACCACGCGAGGAAAGGCTGCGGGCGCTTGTGTCTCGTCATTCGATCAGGACTTCACTTCCTGGTACAGTCAATGCCGTCACCACGATAATCCGACCGAATTGGGCACGAACTTGGTTCACTTTGTGCGAAGTAAGAACATTTGCAATTTTAAGTTAACTTTTGGATCATTTAGAGGCTCTTCGCATCTACTACGAACGAAATGCTGAGCAATTGCCCGAAAAACTCTTCTTGTACCGTGACGGAGTTGGAGATGGACAAATCCCATACGTTGTTCGGCAAGAAGTTTGTTGCATTATTTACCTGACTTTATTGATCAATCGTTTAGCTTCCTCTGGTGCAAAAGGCTTGTGAAGAAGTGGCGGCAACTGTGGATGCACCTCCAATCAAGATAGCTTTCATACTCGTCACCAAGAAGACCAACACGCGAGTGTTCAAACAGCTCGGAGCGAATGTAGCAAATCCATTGCCTGGAACAATCGTCGACAGCTACATCACTCGTCCCGAAAGGTCAAATAACTTTCTAGTTATAGCGTTAATTGTTCATTCTAGATACGACTTCTACATGGTCCCTCAAGCAGTCAACCAAGGAACTGTCGCTCCTGTACACTACAGCGTTCTTCACGACACAACTGGATTTGATGCAGACAAACACCACGCTTTGGTATTATTTACTGAACTATGCCCACAAATGATTACTAATTTTTAGGCATTCAAGCTCTGCCATCTTTACTACAACTGGCAAGGAACCGTGAGGGTTCCAGCGCCATGTCAATATGCGCACAAGTTGGCCTTCCTCTTTGCTCAATCCCTCCACAAGGAAGCACACAATTCTCTTCGCGACAAATTGTTCTATCTTTGAGCCTTTGTATTTTTTTGTTTGGCTGTAACCTTTTGTGCTCGTTTTGTAATTAATTTTTGTTGAATGGAGATAAATTGTATATTGAATACCCAAAACATGGCTAAATACGAGGAGAAAAAACGTTGAAATTTCTTTGTGCAAACTTGTTTGCGAACACCCTGTTAAATTTACAATACCTAATTTTCCACTTTTTTCCTGAATTGAACGACTTTTGGCAGAAAAAAAACTAGTTTCTTGGGTGTGCTGATCGGGCTTTTTGAGCAGGAAAACTGAACTTTATTTAGCGTACACACGACTACCTACCGTATATTGGGAGTTTATAGTCTGAGATTTTTTCAAGAAAATCTAAATTTAGGGGTGAATAAACCTCTAAAATGAGTTGTTATTGTTATGGATTAAAGCTTTTTGTCACATAAAACAGGCCGAAATTCGTTCATTATACGCAAACTGAAACGTTTTAATTCTTTTTTAAGCCAAGGCTTGAGAATTTGGTTTCAAATAATACGTAATAATTGTTCAGATAAAAATATTTAATTTTAAACTTTCAGATGGTGATCGCGAAGATTCAGAAATTGGGAACGACTCTTTGGGAACACAAAAAGAAATCTCTTCTTGGAGTTACGCTGCTTGCTTGGGCCGGACAGTGGGTGCGAAGAAAACAAAGAAATAACGAGATTCGGACTCAATACGCAAAAGAAGCCCTCAAGTTTGGTGAACAGCTTATATCGGCCGAAGATAAATGTCGACGTGTATTCGTTCTTGCAAATGTGGGTGCTAACGAAAGGAGTTGTTACGACGATTTCACTTCCAACGCTCTGCCTTTACTACACTTGGCTGGAATTCAGGTTTGGTTAATGGTCTTGAGTATTATAAAACAATGCCTGATAGAATTTGTGGGTAGTCTAAAATGATCTAGATAAACGAAAAATGTTATTGTGTTTTCTATTGTGAACATTTTGTGATTGTGATGCAATGTTTTGGTTTTAGGTGAATATTGTCAAAGCCGACAACGAAGCCCAACTTGAAGCTCTTGCTGGAGCAGTCGATCATGAAGAAGCCGATGCTGTTTACATAGTTGGGGGTGATGCAACTGTTGGAATTGTTCTGACGGGAATGTTGAAGAAGCGGGATCAAATAATTTTGCCCATAGGCAGGTTTACAAGTGTGAGGCCTTGATTAAATGTTTTAAGGTATTTTCCCCGGTGGTTATGATAACTTGACACTCAAACGACTTGTTCCTGAAGTATTCACCAATGAGAAGGACATCCAGAGACAATGTGAAAGCGCCATGGCTATTATTGAAGATCTAAGACGCTCTGTTAGACCATTTAAGGTTAGTTGTGAATAGGTTCATTTTAAAAAGTACTCAGGCTTTATAACAAGTTTAGGTTGAAATCGATGGAAATAGCGAAAAGCCACTATTTTCCATTGGAGATGTTGGCGTGGGATGGTTTCGGCATATAGAAGAGAGACGACGGAAATTATGGTATTTTGGATCAGCGAAAAGACGATGGGCTTATATCTGGGAAATGCTAAAGCGATCGCCTGATGATATGGAAATATCGGTATTTAGTGCATTTTTTTGTTTTAATTTGTCCTGCATTTAGTTTGAATGGGAAGAATATTGCCCTGGATGCAACAAGTGCCGAGCACCACCTGCACCGGTTATTGTTCAGTGGCGGTGGTGGCACATGTTCACCGGAACGCCGAGATATGCTCAAAAAGAAAAAGAAAGAGACTTTTCAAACGTTGAAAATGAAAAATGCGGAACTATTGGAGCTGGAACTGTCAGTTTTTGCCGAAGGTTTTCAAACTCTAGTAAATTTAGGTGAAAGGCACCGAGTTATTGATCTCCGCTGAGCAACAATACAATGATGAACGCACAGGATTGAGGTTACAAGCTGGCCGAGCCTCGCTTGGACGCTTGGGAGTGATACGTGAAGGATGGTCTCGTTGTGCTGCCGATGTGGTATTTTCTTCATAGTTTTGTGTATAATTACGCTTAACTAGGTTCATCGATCTGTCGAAGAGGGCTTTTACACGGCTGACGTTTTTGCTCGCGCATTTGTGCTACAATTCACCAAATTACCCGAGTTCATTCGCCGAGTTTATGTCTCTTCGGATGAAATCAAAAATCCGATTGAAGAAGGACGAACTCTCGTTCACATGAAAGCGCTCGACTCAAAAATAGAACTTTTTCTCCCGACCAGATTACGTGCAGAACCCAATCCGTGATTGTTTTTGTTGTTTGTAAATATTTGTTTTATTTCTTGGTTTTCGATCTCTTTGATAGGATTTAGCGTAGATTTTATTTATAAAGTTTGTTTTTAGGTAAACTTGATGCCAAAGCGAGATTTTTGAATCAATCAACCGCATCAATTATTCATTCACGACTATATTCTTTCTACAATGGTGAAGTTTCGACACAGAATTCACTCGAATAAAGGAACGAAGTTGACCCCTGGACATATGTGAGCTTTATTTTTGATTTATCTGAATGTATCTTTATTCTAATAAATAACTCCTATTTTTAGCAACGACAGCAATCCTGCAAGAAAAAACACCGCAATGCAGCGAATGCAGCCCGAAAAGCCGAATTGGTACCACTTGTACCTGTGGATGAAATGCTACCCATTGATTCAGTCGATGATCAAGTGCTAGAACAGTTAAACATGGTTAGTTTCGAGAAATTGGTTTTTTAAAAACTAATTAAATTCTAGGACAGCATGTCTTTGGCTGGAGAACGCACGTCAGGCACGGGCAACAAGAAAATGATGTCATCTGCTGCATCAATGGTTTCTGAAGGAGGTTTTTCTCAAGTTTCACGTTTTACAACATTCACTGCTTGCACAAATCCGACATTTGATGTGGTTCACAGGCTTTGGAAGTGGGTTTTGAACTTTGGCAATATTAAGTATGTGTTTAGATCGGGTTCTTCACTCCAGAAAGAAGTTTTGGCTGTTTTGTCGGCTGGTGCAGAAATTATCAAACAGCATTCTGGTGAGGGGAAAGTTTTTGCTTGAACTCATTTGTTTTAGGAACCGAAACTGACGTGGAGTATTATGCCGTGTTTTTAACAACTCTGGAATCAACGTCGGCTGAGGTTTTGTCATTTACATTTTTTGTTTACATTGCTTTAGGACGTTCCACGTGCTGCAGCTGCTGCCTTTCTTTTACATCTTATTGTGAAAAAGGTTTCCAAAGAAGTGTTACAACGACAATTCAGCCGTTCGATTAAAGTTTTTCACACTATAAGACGTGTTATTGATGTTATTTTAGATTCTTGCTGATGCGTTAATGTTGTATTCGGATAGTGATGATGGTGGAGCCGTTCTGAAATATTTGTTGGCAACGCTCGGTGTGGTTTTACGAGCCCAACCCTCAGTAGTTTGGGGCAATAGTGAAAATCGGTAAGAAACTCTTCTAGGTAATTTAGTTTAGCATTTTTTAGAAACATTATTCTGCTAATTGCCTCATTATGTGCACATGAAAAGCCGCGTGTCCGAACAATGGCAAGAAAAGTTGTCAGGTTGGTGATGAAGAAATTTCTTTTTTATTTTGTTATAGAACTGTTTTGACTGACCCTGTGACTTCATTGGAAAATGGTCTTCATGCAGCCGCAGGAACAATTGGCGAGTACATTGATGAACAACTTTGCCTTTCTCTTGGTCGGTTTTTAGGCGTGAGTTTTGTTTAACATTTTCATTTTAGAGGAAAAGACCTCTTCAACGGATGTGACACGCTATTTGTGTCTACTCGAGGGAATTATGCACAAAATGCCAGTTTCAATTTTTCAACGACTTGCAACGAATATATTAAAAGGACTTATAGCGGCCGATTCTCAAGTTAAATAGCAGAAATCATCAAAATCAAATAATGGTTTTAGGTGAAATGTGCTGGATTACAATGCTTGCATCGTGCATTACAAAATCAACCGAGCGATGCTGCCTTGTCGCCTGAAACAAATAAACTTTTGGTGCGTTCTGGGGTATAATTTGCGCTTATGTCGCTTTAGATCATCTCTTTGAGGAAATTAGCTCCATCCCCTTCTGAAGTGGCTGTGTGTGCCTACTGGATTCAGGTATTTCTTTACGATATTGCCAACAATCATAATATTTATAGGCACTCGTGGAGGCTCATGTGTGTCTTTCATATAAAATGAAATCAGAGTCAATTCTGATGTTGCCAGAAACCATGGAACTAATTACACCCTTTTTTCAAGTTGGAAATGATGAGCTGTGCCGAGTTGTTGTACAGGTTCTTTTATATACTTATAACATTTTATTATTTTATGATAGGTTCTTTCTCGACTAGTTGAACAATGTATCCAAGAAGAGGAAATGCCGGCCCGGAAGCTTCTTTCATTGCTCGAATCATCGCTAACAGGATTTTCTGCTATTGTTTGGAAACACATCTTCAAAACGATGACCTTCTTGTTTCAAGTCTGCTTTAAAACTTGTTTCTGAACTTCGTTTTGTAGATTTCTGGCTCGGCACTTTTGTCAGACGAGTTTGTGAAGGCACTACGCACGATGGCTCGTTTAAGAGAAGAAGACTCTTGTTTCTGTAAACAGGAAATCGATTTTGTAAGTGCATTAAGAACATTGAAGAGCGTTTATTTTACTTTTAGACCATTGGTGCTGCCGTTCGGTATGTCGGAGTTCAACATGTGTTAAACGTTCTATCACTTCAAATTGATCCCGATGCTCCTGTTCTACCGACTGATTTCCGACGGTATTTAACTGAAGCTTTCTATTAAAGTTCAATTTTAGATCATGGTTGTTGCCTATTTTCCGTGTAAACATTCGCAATGCGCCGTTGTCACTTTTCATTAAATATTTCCTTGCGTTGGCCTCCAAGCTAAATAAGTAAGAAGGGTGCTTTTATTTAAATCAAGATTTCACCTTAGACGCATGACAGATGATGTAAATAAGATTATTTCTCGTGCATACTCTATTGTACAATCACAACTCTGGGATTTATTGCCATCATTCTTGGCTTCTGCTTCCGACTTTGAAGAGAGCTTTCCTCAACTTGCAAAAGTAAGTTGAATGAGTTGTATTCAAATTTAATTTTATAATTTAGGTTCTTGGTGTAGCGCTGACAGAGCGAGTTGATTTAAGGCTAATTATTTTGACGGGACTTCGAGCAGCGCTTCGGTTTGCACTAGCCCCAGATGCACCAATTTCAAGAAGAGAAACAATGGCTCGGTATTTAAAAAATTTTAAAGGTGCATATATCAAAGCGTTTAGTTACGCGGAGAATTATCTACCAATCTTATTTAATCTCTACGTGAATGATGGTGACAATGATATGAGGTTGGATTGGCTCTTTGTGAGTAATATTTGTTGAGTTTTAGTTCGGCTAATTGTGGAATCCGATTGTCGACTTTAAGTGCAATTGGGCTATATGTGGAAATAAGTCAGAAAGAGATTTTGTCAACATACACCGAAAAAGCCATTGAGCGTTTAAAGGTGGGTTTTTGAAACGATCTAATAATGTAAAGCTATTTAGGGATGCGAAGCAACAAAAACAGACGTAGAGGATAAATGGCGAAACAATAATACGCGAAAAAGAATAGCTGATATCCTTATTGCGTTCGTTAAAGCTGTAACGCCTGCTGATGTACAAAAGGTACAATGGCAATAAGTTAAAATGAAACCAGAGTTGTTAAGATTTTCTCTACAATGCTACCCTTTTCAATCAACCAAGTGATTATTCAATGCAAAAGAAGGCGTACCGAATCTTGGGAGAAGTGCTGAAGAAAAGGTACCCAGGGCTAGAAGGAAATAAAATGTAATCAGGCTTTTTCAGCAATGAACCAGAAATTGCTGACCTCTTCCAAGGAACTCAAGGACCATTGTATGAAATTCTGCTCAAGTCGTATGATGAAATCTCAGGTTTTGCACAACTGATCTTTGTTGGATTTAATTTGAATTTTAGCTCCTGCTCGTGCCGCTCACCAAGAAGCCGTTCTTTTTGTGGTTTACTCTTTGGATACATATGAAGAGTTAAAAAGAATTCTGTTTGAAGGCGATTGATTTGACGGTATAATTTTTATTGGTAATAAAATGGTTCTTTTAAAATTTAGATTCTATGTTTGGAAAAAGCCAACTCGATGCCTTGTCGTGAGGGAGCATCAAACACTTTTCAAGCGATGTGCACGCGTTTGATTGAAAAGGGCTCAGAAGTGGGGTAAGTATTAAAAAATCTTCCCATTTGATTTTTTTATTAAGACAAACGCCTTCCGAGATTTTGTATCCAATTTTCACCAGAATATTTGAAATGAACACACCGAAAGCCAACGGAAAAGAGGTTAAAATAGCTTATTTGAAAAATGAACACCAAATTTCTTTAGATTCGTCTCGAGATTTCACGTGCATGTTTGGTGGCACTAAACATTTTGGCCCAAAAACATGTCAAGGTTAGATTGTTTAGACTGAAATTAGACGGTTTGTTTTTTAGGTTTTGAATGCTTCTCATTTGTCTCGTCTCATCTCTCAAGGATGCTCAACGCTTGCTGAGACAAGACCAACTGTGGGTATTGATGAATTTAATCGTATTCTGTTGATGAAATGCCGTAGCATCAATGTATTTTCTAGATTCGTGTGTTGGGCATTCGACTGATTCGAGTTCTCGTGAATAAGATGCCCGAATTCGCCCTACAACAATATCGGGACATAATCCTTCAAGGCTTTTTTGACCAGAGTGCCGGTGATGATGTGACCTCACAGGTTGGTTAAGTTATGTTGAGTCGTCTACTTTACTTTGTTTCTAGGTACGAAAAGCAAATCGTATCCTCCTTGAATCGTTTGTTGATCATTTTGGAGAGAATGCGCTCGAAAAGTACACTGATAAAGTTGAATGGCTCAAGCAAATTAAAAATATTGTGAAAACGAAGCGAAGAAAGGCGAGAAAGGCTGCAGGACTAGCTAATGAAGAGGGAGAGGAAAATGACGATGATGGTATATTGTTTTAGTCTCCGATTATACCTGTTTTTTATTTACAGATGGTGTTTCTGTGGCAGGATCGCGTGCATCGGCTCGCACAGCTGGAGCTGATACCATTCTTCATTTACTTGACGACAGTGATGATGAAGAGGAAAACGAAGTTTTTATTCCTGAAATGTTTAATATACAAGCTTAATTTAGGAGGAAGAAGATAAACGATCACAAGTCAAGAGCGTTTGGTTGAAAGAAGACGAGGGTGATGTTCACGATCTACTGGATAGAAACATGCTTCTTGATAAGGTAAGTCTTTGCTTTTATTTGTATACATTGAATTATTGGAAAATTCAGGTTTCGACGATCAATCCCACATTGTTAGCCAAACGAGAAGCCCGTTTAACTGAGCGCAAGAAAAAAACTATGGGTTTGCTGTCACAAAAGACGGAAAATTGATTATCGACGATGATGAAGAAGAAGAGAAAGCCTCGAAACGAAAGAAAAAGTAATTTACTTTCTCAAATCCCTTGAACAAAATGTTTAGATCTGATGATAATGACGACCTCTCGGATTTGCTGGGAGATAAGAAAGGAAAGAAAGGGGCTGCTCGAGAAGAGAAAGATGATTACGATGAAGAAGAGGAAGACAAAAAGGTATGGACTTTTAGAATATTTTCAACCAATCATTGCTATTTTTAGAGCCGTGTTTCCTCAACTTCTCGAATGACAACAGGCACCAGCAAGAGCTTTGCCTCTAGGTATAAACCAGGTGGAACGGGCATTCATCGTGATCTTTCGAGGCCGATTGCTACGGTAAGCTTGAAAATGCAGGAGTTGAAAGGTGTTTCATTTTAGCCAAAACGTAAGGGGAAAGCTGGAGGAGATTCGATTCGAAAAACGCAGCCTATGGAACCGTACGCTTATGTGCCATTGAAACAGCTAAAGAAGAAAAATCGGGGTGGAAGTCAAGTAAATCAGGTATTTTATCATTTGTTTCCTATAAAGCGTGTATCTCCAGGAAATTCGTCAAGTGATTGGAAAGAGGAAAAAGCCGCTCTGAATGTTGACTTGACGTTCTCGCTTACAGGTTTTATTGTTATCATTTTTGTTTTATTTCCTTGTTGATTTGTTTGTTATTTTCTAGTCTAGAAGACTTGTTGAGTTTGAATTGTTGAAATAAAAGTTTCTTTATTCAGGAAAAACGAAAGGGCGAGAACCGCTAGATATTAGTTGTTTTTGTTGCCATTTTGTTTGCAGTTGTTCTTTCGACGTTGAACTTTCGATGGTGGTGCGGCGGTGACGCAGCTTGAACTGAAAAATTGCATAGACAAAAAGACATAAAAACTCTGTATCAATCTCGAATTTTTCACTTCAGCCGTTTTCATGTTGCTCGCTTCGGATTCCTAAAGAAAAATACCCCAATATTTTGCTAAAAAGCCGAAACTGTGCATGCATGGAAACCCTTTCTGGCTCGACATTCTTCTCCTCTTTTGCTTCTTTCTATTCGACGGTTGTCCCTGTTTAACTTTAAATAGGAAGTGAAAATGGTCAAACTCTGTCAAAACTTCTCTGTGTTTCTTTGAGCCACCCTTTACTGGTTCCTTTTCTTTCCCATCAACCGTCTCGCCTTTATTTTTCTTATTACATTGCCCCAAGGCGATTGTGGTTAGGAGAATTGGCACTTAAAATATCGTTTGCATTTTGTAAAGCTCGAGGTGCTAGCAATAGCAAAGGCAAAGGATTAGGGCAAAATAGGAGATTCACAAACGTTCATTGAATTATGACAATTGAAGCGGGCCTTTGGGCAAATAAAGGATACGATAAAACATCCTAACTCTTAATCAAAGAAAAACCAGTAAACAACAATGGGATAGATGTAGACATAACGCCAATATGGGTAAAAAGCGAAAATGAAGCTACTGAAGGGTCATCTTTTGACGACTTGATCGTCTTACGCAAATTGTGAACTCTATGCACATTTGGTCTGCATTTTTTATTGACTTTCAGAAGTTTTGTATAGCTTTATATATTTATCTTATGCATAAAATAAAACATCATAACATCTTAATCAAAGAAAAACCGGTAAACAGCAATGGGATAGATGTAGACAAAACGCCAATATGGGTAAACAGCGGTAGTACATTTTCTACGTGAAATCGTTGTTGCTAAGAAATTTCCTCCCACCTGCATTTTACAACAGTTGCCAGAAAAAGCTCTAACACATTGACAAAAACTCATCACAAACCACCACTACCTCTTTCAAGTGGACGAGATTCGTATTAGAGGTCATCTAATCTAAACCACTGTACAACTATAAACACAAGACAACATCAAAGTAAAACACCAAGAATCTTTAAAAAAGGGTTGGAGTCAAAAACGGATGAGAATCGCGTGCAATTCACAAAGTCGAATAAATTGAATGAAATGAAAGGAATGAAAAACACGAAAATTTACTGGGAGATTGTTCTATGGGATCCAAATTACTTAGATTCTTCTTTTTCCTCCGAAACGCCGTCCTTTTCTTTTTCACCGACGTTAGCTTCCTTGGCTTCTTCTTTTGGTGTTTCAGTTTTTGGTGTTTCAATTTCTGTTGTTTCAGTTTCTGGCTCTTCAGTAATTTGCTCGCTGATAAGCTGCGTCTTTTGCATCTTTATGGCGATGCTACGAGCCTAGAACAAGGGCTTTAATTTGAGCCATATTTAAAAGGTTACCTTTTCTTCCTCGCGAACCTCCTTTAGGTATTTCTCATAGTCCGCCAACATTTCCGGATCTTCACTCGCTCCGGCTCCGTCATCCTGCTGATCACCATCATTGAAATGTGATTCTAAAGCAGCCCGTATTATAAGCAACTTCTAATTGCATATACCTAAAAATGCACGTTCTTCTTCGCTCAAGTCAATTTGTCGACCATCTGGGCCGACTAATGAGCCAATGATAGAATCCGAATCACCAACCGCACCCGAATACTAAGAGAATGTTTTTTAAGACATACACATGAGACTCACCCGATCATTGTATCCCCATCCCTTCTCACGTTGTTCAATCAACGAAAATATCAGAGCTTTTGTCGATTCGCTGAGCTTTTGCATTCCATTAGCTAAACCAGAAAGGCGAGTCATGACCGCATTCAATTCTTCTTGTAGTGGTGAAATCGCATCCAAGTGACGGCCAGTTAACTAAAGAAGAATTTTTTGAAGGAATCAAAAATGTCACCTTCAAAATCTGAGCGATCTTTTTCATATGCTGGTCCGTGATTTGTAGGTGAGGGAGATTGACAATCTCACCGACTTGTTCCATCAAAGCGGTTCCTATTGGTTGAATGCGTTTTTCCCGCTAAACGTTTTAAATATACCCAGGTTTAAAAAAAGAGTATTCACTCACCATTTCAATCTTTTCAAAAAGCTCAGCCACAAACATCATGAAATTCTCTGATCGTTCTTTCTCTAGCGTGCTGCGATTCGTATGGTACGTTTCGAGGACAGGCAATAGGTGATTAAGCGTGAAGTCTATTTTCTAAAAAGAGCAAAGTTCCAAATATCTACGCTATCAAAGTTTACCCCATTGCAGATAAAAGCAAAAAGCTTTGCAAATGTGTACTGGTGATTGGTAGGATTCATTGGTGTAATGCTTTCAGAGCCTCCAGATATAGCCTAAAGCGATTGATAGGGAAAAGGCAATCACAGATCCTACCATTTCAACTGCAATAGATAGGGCTGTCTTAATAGCTTCATTCTTCAAACTCGGACTTAGCAGTCGATCTTTAATGGCGCCAGCCCAGCAGTCAAATTCGTTTGGATCGGCCAACAATTGTTCAAAACCAATTTGAATCTAAATTTGATATTCTGTACTGACTGTGCTCGATATGAGTAACACCTCACATCGAAATTACTATTTACCTCGGTGATCACATTTTGTTGATCGCATTCCCGAATTTGCTTTTGCAAATCGTTTGACGGAACGTATACTTGAGCTCCAACACTAAAATTATTAAAACGTTGAAGTCCGTTTAAGAAATCATACCTGTACATTTGCTCATACAAATAATCATCTTGCTGTCCAGGATCCTCATAGCCAAACTGTTGCTGCATCATATTTGGAGAAGCTCCGGCAATCTAAAATTATTGAGATGAAATTCAATACAGAATATTCAATAGCTAATAAATCAATTGTTTTTGTTAATCCATGAGGTTTGCGGTCAAAAACTGATACAAAAAGCCAAGGAAGAGTGGTGTCGAATCAATAGAGGTCAAACAAAAGGCAATGAAGCGTGAATGAATTTTTGTGCCCTGTACTCTTCAAAATTCCAATAAAGTTGTGTCAATTTTGCCTTGCAATCCACAAAAAAGTGAATGCTAAATGAGAGGGATGACAGTGAGACGGTTAGCGAAGAGGGTTAAGTCTATGTTGTTTGTGCATACAAGCCGGAGAGTTGAGAGGAGATAGGAGAAAGATGAGAGAAACAACGGGAAAGGCAAACACGATGCGGCGAGAACCAGAGATTTCAGAGAAACGCGAAAGTTCAGTCGTGAAAAATATGAAGCTGTTTGAGCGATCATCTCATTTTTGAATTAATATGTCGTATCCACGTTATGAATATGTAACATAAGCATTCTAATAGAAAAGCCGGCTCTTTTATTTTTCAATGCCCCTCTCAAATTCTTTTTTGTGTCCTAGCTACGGTATACCCAAATTTTAAAGAGTTCAAAAATAGTTTTTTTTCGAACGTAATTAAGCTTTTGGTCTATAACTATTATTTAAAACGTTTAGAAGTCTTTAAAAAAGTTGAGCATTTTGCTATCCGAGAGTTCCAAATCCAAAAAAAGAAAAATTTCGTCTAAAGGAGCACTTCTAATAGAGAGCACTTCAATTGGAATAAATACAGTATTTTAAATTTACTTGATTTTGATAGTAGTTTTGCGGCTCCATTCCATAGCCCTGTTGACCACCATACGACGGCGCCGTGTTATTGTACTAAAAAAGTTGAGATAAAATTTCCCTGGTAACTTTAATCTTGTTTAAACTATTTAGCTAGTTGGCTGTTTAGCTTTAAACTAAAAAGTTTATACCTATTTAAAAATTTATGGCATCAAGCTAGTTCAAATAATGCTTACATTGTTCGCATAAGTTTGTCCTTGTTGACCTCTAGGAACAAAAGTTGGAGCATTGATATTCAGATGATAGTTCTGAACTCAATAATTTATTAAGTATTAAATAAAAAACCAACGGGAACATTTGTTCCCGTTGTAACATATATTGTTGTATTTAATTTCAACAAACCATGTATTGTTGCTGTTGCATCGGATGCTGACCATTTTCTAAAATAAAAGAATATTGTCTTTAAAAAAAATGCACACCATAAGGGGCGCCATTGTTTGGCCATAGATTGGTAGTTTGGTAGTTTGGCAAACCCGAATGGTAGGAATTCTCTGAGTGATAGCTGCTGTTCTAAAATGAAATATTGTTTGGTTTAAAGGACAAACATCGAGACTTCATATAAACCTTTGCAAAAATCATAGCATAACTTACGCTCTGACTCGAATGAGACATTTGGTCACCATAAGGTTGCTGGGGTTGCTGCTGCTGAGGGTTCAAATGCCAAACTAAAAAAATGTATTACTTATTAAATAAATCAAAAATGGCTTTGGTAATAACGTAAGCAACTAACGTTAACATATCTAATATTTTTACTTTTTGTTTTTACAAAACCGGCTGTTTAACTTTTTAACTAATGTCATTGACTAATCCTACCACGAAAGCCCAATAATCACAATTCGCAAACAAAAAAAACTAGATTTAAAGTTGTAAAAGCAAACCATTGGGCGCATGTCCTTGTTGTTGAGGAATCGGCTGTATGTTATTGGCTCCATTGTACAAATTGGGAGCACCAGCTGAAGGTCTTCCCCCATTTCCAACTCTAGGGTGTTGATCCCATCCATTTTGACCTCTCATCGCTTGATTGCTGTTATCTAAAGATCAACACGTGATAGATCGGTATGCAAAAAAATAAGGCATTGAAGTGAAGGGAAAAGAAGATATATTTATCTCGAGGTCTCGGCGATGAAACTGTAATAGGCTGTTGTTGTTTGTATCATATCGCTCTCTTTACGCAACTTTTTGAAAAGCGAATTCGATTAGAATAGGAAAAGGAGAAAACGCATCGAATTTCACAATGTATCGGATAATACACATGACATCTACATGGTGAATATTTGTTTCTAAAAGGAATCGCAAAATTATGACTAACAAAAATGTAATGATCCTCAAACCCACTTCCTCAACTTTTTGACTTTTGCACATTTCTCATTGTCATACAAACATTCTAGATGGAGGTAGAAAATCTCAACTGGTACATCGAAGAGCAAGAGCCCGTTTATCTTGACCACAATGCCACGACACCGCTACACCCTGAGGTTTTTCTAGATCAATAAGCAGACACGCAAGCCATTTCGCAGGTTCGACGAACAATTATCGATTCATTAAGTCTTTGGGCAAACCCAAGCAGCAACAATCCAAAAGGTTCACCATTTTTTTGAAAACCAACATGAGAACGTTAACAGCAAAATTGGCACATGATGCGATCGAAAAGGCGCGCCAACAAGTGGCCGATCTTTTCCATGTCACGCCCAAAGAGATCTTTTTTACGTCAGGTGGCACAGAGGTAAAGTCGTCATAAGTACTAGTTTTCTGTAACTGCTCTACGTTCTGATATCAAAAAGATCAAGAATACCATTAGACCAACAGCTGGGTGCTCGATTCGGCGATCGAGGAATACAGACAACAGTGTAGAGAAAACCGCGGCCTTCCACACATTATCACATCTGTCATCGATCATCCAGCCATTGTTAAGCCCTTGAAAAGTTGGCATGAACAACGGAAAATCGGTTAGTTTTCTTAACAAGTTGATCCAGAAACGTAGCCTAAAACTATTGAACCCGCATCTTCCAGATGTAACTTTCTGTAACATCGACAAGGCAACGGGTTGTGTCAATGTTTCCGAAGTTGAAGCAGCAATCCGGAATGAGACGTGTCTTGTTACAATTATGCTCGCCAATAATGAGACCGGTGTCATCCAACCAATCGGTGGATTAAAGTCTAAACTTTTAGTTTAGCAACAACAAATTTAGCTGAAATTTCGGATGTCGTGCGAAAAGCTTCGAATCAAATTGGTCGGAAAATCATAATGCACAGTGACACCACACAGGTACACAGATCCTAAAGTCGAGGTTGAATCTAGCTTCAGGCTATCGGTAAAGTAAATATCGATTTAAATGAGCTCAAAATTGATTTGGCAACTGTGGCGGGACATAAGGTAGGTTAATGAATCGCTCCGTATGCTTCTCTTTTTAGTTCTACGGACCGAGAATTGGTGCTCTAGTTCTGCGATCTCTTCTAACCGTACCGATTCATCCATTCATTTACGGTTGCGAACAAGAAAGAGGTTTTAGAGCTGGGTTGGTTTGAGAAATTGGCAACCTTATGAGATACAAGAACTTTTTTATGGTAGGTATAAGAAAAAGGAATTGCTGATGCTTGATCATTAAGCCTGAATGCCGCCGAGCTATTAAAAGTGATTCAAACTTTAAGCTTTCAGAACTGAAAATACGCCGATGATCGCAGGATTGGGCAAAGCTTGCGAATTGGCATTCGCTCATCTGGCACACAATGAGAATCATCTACAGGAAATCCGAGACTACTTTGAGAAGCGAATCAAAGTCAGCCACAGAATTGCAAAATTGCTGTTTAAAAGCATTTCTTAGGAAGAACTACAAGGGAATGTGTCGATTAATTTTGAGCATTCTCCCCGTCTTCCCAACACATCGTCGGTAGCTTTCCCAAAATATGCTGATACCAGGTAAAAAGCCCAGGTAACTCATTGAATCCATTAATTTAGCGCAGACCTTCTATCGAAGTGTCATTCCTTTTACGCAAGCACAGCAGCTGCAGGGCATTCAAAGAAAAGAAAGTTAATAAATGTCGTAGAAGCTGAAAAACAAAACATTAATTTAGAGCGAGTGCTATTCTCATTTCGAGTGGAGTTTCTGAAGAGGTTGCACTTCGGACAATTCGCATTAGCTTTGGAACGGGTAATACAAAAGAAGAGGTGAATGCACCCAACTTGATAATGTCATAAGTGCAAATTCAGGTGGACAGAGTTGTAAAAGAGCTCAAAGCGATGTGTTTTCTTTCTCAATTTGGAACTTCCCTGATTGGAGCATTTAGTAAAGGCCCAGTTCCCGGGTTCTAATATTTTCTCTAACCTGCATACAATACGCAATTTATGGTCGTGATGTAGCATAACGCTCAATGATCTTTCCAATGTATGTAACTCGTAATCAATCGATTTACTGAGATCCTTACAGTATTTGATTAGATTTCAAACAATTAATAAATATCGAAAAACTGTTATAGAAGATTTATTTGAAAACTAAAAGGCTAAGTTGCATACAAAGCAGCTCGCTTAACACAGAAGCATATGATAATTTGCTAGCCTAAAAACCCGGAAATAAGAAACGAAACGAATATAATGAGAAAAATCTAAATGAGTCAATCATATAATGGAGAAGCACTGGAATCAAACATTTCAAAATAAACACGAAATGCGAAAAAACAATCAAGTTATTTTGATTCAACTCCATTTGCTGGCTTCTTCCCTTCGAGAATCTGAGCGTAGGTGGCCACATGAGAGTGCCTGTTTGCCTCATCGACGCTTCCGTCGCTTGCAGAAAACTCGTAGCCACGATGCTCGATCATTTCCCTTGAATGCTCCAAAGATTGTGGCTCGGTAGAGGCAACTCGAATCAATTCCAGAGGTTCAATTCTAAATGAAAACTTTACAAATATATTTTTAAACTTAAACTTACGACTTATTTGTAGTGTGGCCATCAACATCAGAAAAAGAAGTTCGCTTTGGATTTGATTGGTCCTTCAACTGCAAGGAGACCTTTGATGATCGGTCTCCACTTTGTGGTGTTACTGGACTATCCCTTTGATAACAACGATCATCTCTGTATTGGCGATTCGTGTAGTCATCATGATAACGCCCTTTACTCTTTGGTGCTTTGTCAAACTAAAGCACAAAAATTACGTCAGTTAACTTTCAAACAAAACCTGCTGCTCCTGGTGCTCATTTTGCAAATAATGATTTCCGTGAATCCCACGATGTCGCTGGCTATTTTCATACTGTCTGAGGTACTCAACGTTTCCGAAATCCGCATGCGACATGTGAGTGTTGCGATCATTGTGATGATAGGCCTTCCCACCATATGGCCAACGCCCACGCCCGCCACCGCGTGTTGAGGAAACCTAAACATCTAATCGATAATCGATTAATTATAAAGTGCAAGTATAAACATAAAATTGAAACCGACATAGCTCCTTGGCCCTTGGGTCTTATCGGGGTAGGTGACGTTACTATATACCGGGGCTCGACGCTCATGAGTTTCATTTGCTGTGTTTTTATTATAGCTTTGGTTTCCGGTACCTAAAAGTACAATCTTATCTTTGGCCATTAAAAGGAGACACCTACTGTAATTGCTATTTCGAACTCGGCTTTGAGAGCGAGTACTTGAAAACGATACATTAGTTGAGCCATTCGGTGTGTTGGTTTGATTTGTGTTGTTAGAATCGTCACGACATTGAAAGGCATTACTAAAAGAGCATTACAAGCAAAAGTGACTAACAACAACTATAAACTAAATAACCTACGCTGAATAAGGGCTACGAGGAAAGCTTGCAGAATAATGCAATGGATAGTATCTTGCTATGAGTCCTCCTTGTTGCATCAAACGAGACACCTGTTCTCCCATGTGTGATGAATGTGGAACATTTGCCGACATTTCTCTGAGCACTCCTAAATTAGCATATTGTTAGCAAACAAAAAGAAAAACTACGAGCTGGTTCATATTCAGCTAAACTCTCATCGCGAACGATGTTCGCTGAAGGTTCTTCAGTTTCCAAAAGCAGAGCGTTCGGCGCAGCCATAGACTAAAACATAAAATTATTACAATTAATAAAAAATCTTTTACCTTAATCATAGGCATGTGACCAACGTAATTTTTACACGCAGTTGTCATAAGGCGACTGGATATACCATTGTAATCCGTGGAGTCAAGGGAAATCGCAGCAACAAAACGTGCGTGAGTAAAGGTACTTGCCAAAGAAGCAAATAAACCAGTTACATTGAACTCCTAAAACTTTAAAACTACATGACTTAATTATTTTTTAGACCTGTGTAACAAAATGTACAAAATGTCTCATCGGCTCAGTGGCTAACAAAGGTTCCATCTCGTATTCGCTTTTGTAGTAGTTAATTGTGACGAGATTTTCCGAGTCAAATTCTTGCTTCGATCTTAACGGCCCAAAGTTGAGCGGTTCAACAAGATCATCATTCGTGACATCAACACAGAGCTGCAGTGGAAGAAGACTCTAAACCAAACGCGTTTCAGGAATTCAGGAATATAACACTCGAACTAAAATATATATTATCCTAATCGTGTACCTGCAAAACTCGGCGAGCTTCGATTACAGAAATGGGACTTGTGCCGGTGCAAAAAAACGAAACCATATGCCGATCGATCTTCTCGGGAAAATGAATATCCGCGTTAGTTATTTTTGAAGCAACTGCGATGAAGAAGTATTCAGGCTGTTGTTTGGCTATGATGAGGTCCCATTGGCAAGATGGCATTTCAAGACATGAGCTGAAGATGACTTTCTCGCAATTGTGTTCATCGAAGAGCGCTTTTCTAAAACCGCACACTAGTAATTTAGCTTAAAAGACCTAACAAACTTCAAAGATTCGCAAACAGTTGCGATATTTGTTGCATTGCCGATTCGTCCCGTAACATGTATGGTTGGTTCGCTACTCTAAGCCAAACATTAAAGTAAAACATGAAAAAGCTTACATCTTGCGAATAAGACGTGAGCTGCACATTGACAGACTTTAGATGACCATCTTCTTGAAGTTCCTTGATGCATTCCTTGATTGTTTCCTTATTCACGCTTTCTTTACATCCTTTTGTTGAAAAGCTCACCATCAAAGGAGTGAGTTTCTAATCAAGAATACAAAAAGTAAACGTTTAAGATATTACCCGGAGTCTTTTCCTTGCTTCATTTACTTCTTTTAATGACCCGTGAATTAGTATTTGATTGGAAAATTGAGTCAGCTCGTTCTTGTAGCCATATCGCTTAAAATTACTATTTAAAGTCAAATCTAAATAAAGATACCTGTTCATGGTCTTCTTTGTCGGGAAATATAATATCTATTTTCGTATCAGCAATTATTTTTGAGATCGAGTCATCAAGTTTCAGTTGCATTCGATTTGTTTGCATTTCAATGTGATCCGAATGTCTGACTTCCATTGAAAGCGTAACCTTTTCTCCTCCCGAACTAGTCTAAAACAGAAATAACCGGAAACTTTACGTCGCAGAACTTACATCTGATTCATTGTACAGATATGGATTGTAAGTTTCGGAGCAGGCGAAGTTTTTGCGGCATTCCTTGTACGTTTGAACTTTATCTCGCCTCATTTTGGCACCCATCTAAAAAGACAAACATTTTTCAGATAAGAATCCTACTTCATATACCCCAGTTAATTGAGCTAATAATCAACAATAGCTTAACCGATCAAAAACAACAATAAAACACAAACCGTTGCGCTTTGTTGATATTTGTGAAAGAAAGTTCCTTCTTGCGGCGCATTGAGAATCGACTCAATCAACTCTGATGTAATCTCGCCTTGAGTCTTTAGAATGTCGCTCAAGCAGGTTTGAGTCATGTGCCCCCATCATGCACCGTTGATAAGTACTGCAATTTGCCGGTCAATGAATTGCTGTCTAAAAATAAAAGTGGTACTTTGTGGGATGGGGGGACCCAACTACATTTTTGGTTTTTTCACTTTTCTAGGGGTAATCGAGGGCGCTGAGCACGAAGTTGACAGTTCTATGCTAAAACTGTCAAATACGTGCTCAGCATCCTCGGTTACCCCAAGAAAAGTGAAAAAATTAAAACTGTAGTTGGGTCCCCCAACCCACAAAGTACCATAAAAATTATACTCAGTTTTAGATAAGGCTGAAGAAAAAAGAAGCCATTACACAACAAAACTTGGGAAATGAAAATTTTTTAAAATGGAAACTTTGGTTTTTTTTTTTTAAAATAGAGTCTTTTTTTCCATATCACCAAAAAAAAAAAAAAAAAAAAAAAAAAAAAAAAAAAAACAAAAAGAAACAAAAAAAAAAAACCCCCAAAAAAAAAATTTAAAAAAAAAAAAACCCAAAAAAAAAAAAAAACCCAAAAAAAAAAACACCCAAAAAACCCAATAACCCCCCACCCCCCCAAAACAACCCCCCAAACCAAAAAAAAAAAAAAATACCTTTAAACCTAACACCCACCTCCCCCAAATCCCCAAAACCAAAACCAACAATTAAAACAAAAAAAAAAAAAAAAAATCCCTCCAATAAAAAAAAAAAAAAAAAAAAAAAAAAAAACCAAAAAAATAAAAAATAAAAAAAAAAATTAAAAAAAAAAAAAAACCCCAAAAAAAAAATTTTAAGAAAAAAAAAAACCCCCCCCTTTTCCCTTTCCCCCCCCCTTTATCTTCCCCCCCCCCCAAAAATCACCCCCCCCCTAAAAAAAAAAAAAAAAAAAAAAAAATGCATGCTTATAATTCAATTGAATTGCTGATACGATTAAAAATATCGGGTGCATTTTCTAAACCAAAGCAAATCTTAAAACTTTGGAAACGCACCAGAAACGCGTTTTTGTGCGAGTTGACGCAAATGAACTAGAGGCAATTTTTGGTGTTAAGAGCCTTTTTATAACAAAAGATATTCAGTTGAAAATAGGAGTAAACAATTTTGTTTGGTGCTTTTTAGAATTCAAGATTCCTCATTTTTCGGTTGTGATTGTTTTTAGGAGTGGGACAAATGCGACCTTTTTTGCGCACCCGGACATTTGCGCACCTTGCCCATTAGCGCACCTTTTTTCGCGTTTTAAAAAAGCTCTAAAAAAGCTAATATTAACCAATTTCTATTCCAAAAGTTGTTTTTCTAGGTAATTTTAGGGCGTAGAATCGATATTTTGACATAACAGAGCGTGTCGAACCAATTTGAAAGACAAAACGGCTAGATCAAATTGATCAAATCAAATTACAGAAAATTGCCGATCTTTCTCTTTGTATAACTCCGTCCGTTTGTTTCCACATGCTCTGATATGTCAAAATTTCGATTCTACGCCCTAAAATTACCTAGAAAACAACTTTGGAATAGAAATTGGTTAATATTAGCTTTTTAGAGCTTTTTTAAAACGCGAAAAAGGTGCGCTAATGGGCTAAGTGCGGAAAAAAGGTGCGCAAATGTCCGGGTGCGCAAAAAAAGCTCGCATTTGTCCCACTCCCTGTTTTTGTGTACTTTTAGTGCGTTTTTCGTTGAGATTTATCAAAAAAGTTTAACATTACATGGGTAATACGGACGGGACGAATCAATTTTGGAATTTCATCTTAAATGAGAACATGGGGGACCGGAGTAGAAGGCACCAAAGTTGAGGACACAGAAGAACATTCAGAAAAAACACTTGAGCTGCTAGGTGATCTCGTTTGTGTTCAAGTTGGATCAATTTCTGGCGGTCGAGTGTCCACGATGGCGAACGCTCTGAAAGTTGATCTTTCAAGTGTTATTATAAGAGTCAACTTTTAGACAACTATCGTAATCTGGCCTTCTAATCTATCTGACATCAAATGATAGATTGAGTAGAAATAAAAACAAGATTACGGTAGCTTTTAAAAGCTGACACGTTTTAGAAAACGCTTTGCATGGGAGACCACACTCTAGTTATAACATTGAGCCTATTCTTGGTCACATTACAATATTAGGTATTGTTTGACTGAATCAAGAAAGCCATATAGATTCATAGCAATACCTCGTCGCTCCAGCTGCAGCGGCCGCAGCCAACACAAAGATGAATGCCACAATTGTCAGGTACCTGGAATTATTTTGGTCAAACTTGAGAACATTTTCAAAGTGAGAAAAATTTGAGATGATCAGAGCTATAGACGAACCACGAATATCCGAGATGTGCATTGTGAATCATTTCATATGAGGTCGATTGCATGTACACTGGAAGCAAAAGATTTTTCTATTCGCTTTTTGAACTTACTCGTTTTGCTGTCGAACTTGATCGCATACCAGATAATCGCAATAGCTAACAGCAAAGCGGCCAATCCACACATTGCGGCCGCCGGCGCCGCGAGTCGATATCTCGCTGAATTTGTTGCTATAGATGTCTCATAGTGCTGTCTCCTAGTCAGCATATTGTCTTTAGTAAGGCATAAGACTCTCCCTTGACGGCAATTGGATAAGTGCTCATTGGTAGTTGTAGCTCATTGGTAGAGCTCATTGGTAGTGTTGTAGCTCATTGGTAGAGCGTTCCCCCCCGTAAACGTGAGGTCGCGGGTTCGAATCCCGGCGGCGCCGAGCCAGCCAGCATTCCCAGCCAATAAAACGATTTTCAGAGCTCTCTAAGGCTCATTTTCAGAGCTTCGGATAACCTCTATTTGCCACCATGTCAGTGAAATACAACGATTGATCCTGTACAAGCTTTTGCAAAATCCTAAACTAATCCCGAATTCCGAAAAGTTGCAGAAATCTTGTCCAAATTTCTATTTCCAAATTTCCCCACCTTTCGCAAAAATGAGCACAAACGAGATGACGCAGACGAGCTCAAGGAGAGCTGCGAGGATCATACAAGCCAATGTCACCTTCTCAAATGTGGACTTGTACTGGAAAACATGGCATTGATTGGCTTTGTTTTCTCTATAATTCACCCGAAACCATTCATGACAATCTGGTCGGATCACGTATCGATTTCCATTTCCACAATCTAATGTCACAAGGCCAAAGAATGGGGCGCCAGGTCCCTGAAATCAAAAGTTTCTAGCGAATTTCTCAACATTACCTTGAATGATCTCCATCCCGGTGTAAACAGAGCAACCATCGTCAAAATGAATCCCAAAATGATGAGAATCCCATAAGATAACTTGACAGTACGAAGAACTTTCGTCATTGTAAAAGTTTTTTAGTGTTTGTGGTACAAATAGTCGTACACTAGCTGCTTTGTTCAGATGTATTTCGGTTAGAAGGGGACGATGGGGCATCCAGTGAATCTAGGCAACGAAAAGGAAGGGAGCGGGGTGAAGAAGAAGGGATAAGAGGATCCAAAAGCCATCCACATTCATCATTCAGCACCTTTCCGAAAAAAAGAGAGACATTCCCAATCCTTTTCTGAATTTGTAGAAAAGGGAAAAGACCAAAACAGCCATACGATCAACCACCACATTTAAAGAAAAGAACCACGTGCCCAGGATTTTTGAATGCAAAACGTTGCTACGATTTTTGTCCACAAGCTAAAAGAGGATATCAATTACCCCAAAAGTTTTCTAATAGTAAGCAGTAAGAAATGTCAAGGTAATTCTAGGCCAGTAGCCAATTGCTAGGCCAGTAGCCAAAGCTTTAAAAAGTCCTGATTTCAACCAAATACTGTAGTTTACTTGTTCAACAGGTGCGCTTCTCTCGTTTTCTAAAGCATGCCAACTTTCGAAAGCTACCATAATCCTGGTTCTAATTTTATTCAATCGATCTCTTTCTATAGCTTTTGATATCCTTTATGAAGCCTCAGATCAAATGAAGATAGATTAGATAAAAGCTAAAAACATGATAATTTTGATTATGATAGTTTTTGAAATTTGATACACTTTAGAAAACGATTTGATTAAGTGTAGAGTTGTCTTTTTGCTATTTTGTTCGTTTTTTTCGAATCTGCATTGTTTTGTCGATTTTTTTTTGAAATCTACTTGTTTATAACATTCTTTTCAGAAGAGAACCCAAGACAATTTTCTCTCTACACAAGGCAATTTGATTGTAAAGTTTAAACAAAAATCATCACAGCAATTCAAATCCATGATCTTCGGCTTGTTTCCGCTCTTGTTCGGAGATATGCTGAAAGTGAAAGTTTTGAAAGTTTTGAAAGTTCAAATCTTTCAAGAAAAGCTCTTGTGCTAAAGCTTACCCTTGTCTCTCCACCAATCGGCTCTTCATAGAGTACTGTGAAGATTGGATCTTTTGTTCTTTTAGAGCCGAGTCCTCTTCCCAATTCCACATCGATCACTTGGTTCTGAAAGTTCGGCTCTTCATAGAGTACTGTGAAGATCGCAATCTTGGCTTGGATCTTGTTGAACTTTTTCACTCACCAAATTCAAAAATCTCATCGACTCTTCGAATTCATTTTTTCCGTTTATCAGAAAACCGATTGCACACGAAGGATCTAAAATAATACTGTTTGATAATGTCTAACCGGACTTATAATCTAGGTCATGCCAGACAAGCTAAAGCCAGAAGCCAGGACCAGATCCAGGTCTTGCTCCTGGAAAAGATTTGATGGCCAGACAAGGCAAGGAAAAGTCAGATTCAAATCTGGCTTGGTTTCTTGATGGGTGTGAAGTAAATTTAGACCATGATCTGACTTGGCCTGGTCTGGCTTTGTTAACGTTTTGTTTTTAGCTTAAGCTGTCAACCAATACTTACCGATATCGGAAATGTGCATTTTTGAGAGAAGTCGGCAATGAAATGAGGAAAATGGCTAAAAGTTTTCAAGTTATTAACAATTTTTCTTCGTTACCTTGTGCTTCGGTTTTGCTTCGTGATCTTTCTCGAGCTCTTTCTCCAGCGGAATGTATGGGTGACTGACGTGTGGATCCAAGTAGATCAATTGCTGAAATGTCCGGGTTTATCTTTTTAAAATAACTTCTTCCAAAGGGAAAACGTATCGATTTCATTGATCTCACCTGATCATAATACCCAATGAAGTACGTCGAGTGATTCGGCTTCCCACCGCCGATTCCCAGCGAGTTCGGCATTTTCAGCAAGTATTGAAGATGTCGATGATAGACCTGAATACTTTTATGTGATCTCCACTCTATATCTTCACTCTATATCCAAACCTTGTTCACCGAATGAGCCCCTAAACGAACGCAGATGAAGAGTAAAAGTGGTCGAGTCCAATTTCTGGTTTCCCGCTCGACAATCGGCACAATGAGTGTTCCATCTAAACATGTGCCTTCGGTGTCATTTTAGTAAACTTCGGTGTCATTTTAGTAAACGGTTTTTGTTTTACTTTTTGTTTTACTTTTTGTATTTCTTTTGATTCTTGATTTTTCTAATACTCTTATTTAAAATAAAATCTTTTAAACCGAAAGAAAACCTGAACAAACGACCATTGCCAAACCAGCTGTCAATGATGAGGTTGATGTTTGGATGGCACGTCTGAAAAGGAGCAAATGAGGAGCAGAGCAGCTAAGGTTTTTAGGGCAGGCTAAGCTAGGCTAGGCCTAGTTATGGCTCTAGAATGGCTTTTAGCAAGTATTGTCCGAAATTCTTGCTTTCAAATATTAAGCAGCAAGTATTCTTATAGCTGAGTCTTTAGGACTTACTTCAATAAACTCAACGCTTCGCTTGGTCGAAACCATCGCTCAGCTGACGCTTTCCCACCCGATAACTCGAGCAATCGATGGATTCCTGAAAATATGTATCATATTCTATTTTCTTTTCTTATTCAAATCCAACCCAAAGGAGCTTCCAGACTTGGCTTGTCCTCGAAAAGCCGAAGAATCTCATAGTGTTCCCAGGCGGTTTCTGGCATTTTCTCATTCAAATTCATTCCTCGTAGATTCCATCTCCAATCTGAATAAATAGTTTTGATTTGTAGATGACAAAATCAAGTAAATATTCTTAATATTCTTAATATTCTTAATATTCTTAAGATTCTTAAGGTAACGAACTTCTGCCATGTCTGAGGACAAGAATCGCTTGAGCGACCATCATTTGACTCGTCCGCAACATACAACCCCAACCACAATCGGATCGGATCTATAATTGTAAAGTTTAGCTGTTGTTTAACGCGAACATGTAAATATTGGATTGTCCAGTTATAAATGCGCGTTTTTTACTATTTTGTAAATTTCTCAAGATACCGAAATCAAGAAAAAGATATATATGAGTATTATTCGAAAGCTGAAGATCTCCTCTACATTTTGATATAAAAAGTTTTTAAATTTGTTCAGCTTTTGGGCAAATCGACTGCACAGAAGAAGAGGTGGCCAAAAAATGGAAGGGTGCCTTTGGATCCAGTTTTGGCTGCGCTCAAATTGAGCTAACCGTTTGATGTTTGGTCAATAGATATATCAATACAACTTTTTTAAAAGTATAACAATTTCAGAGCATCTTTACTTTTCTGGGCGGTTATTTACACCATAAAACTTGAGGAATAGCTAAGCTGGAATGGGTTTTTTCGAAAACGACCTCTCCCTTTGTGCAGTCAATTTCCCAAAAAGTTGAATGAATTCAAAAGCTTTTTTATTCCAAAATGTAGAGGAGATCTTCAGCTTTCGAATGATATATAACACTCATATAAATCTGTTCGGTATCTTGAGAAATTTACAAAATAGTAAAAACGCGCATTCATAACTGGACAACCCAATAGTATCTTGACTTGTAATAATCAATGCTCCGATGGTGAGCTTCTTAAACAAAAAAGATTACTATATAGCCTTTTTCTTACTATGTACTATGTAGCCTTTTTTCAATTCAACTTCTTTATTCACCGTTGTGCCCGGGAATTCGTCGAATCCACTCCTGTACGTCAACCAGATTCTCGAGTAGTAATCGATGAAAAAGTCGTCGAATGTTTGCCCAGGTTCTAGAGAAAATGAAAGATTCAAATCAAATCTAAAGCTCTCACGATTTTTCTCCGGATCATACTCGGCTCCAAGCATCGATATTGTGTCTTCGGCTTCATAATCATTCATATGATCCGATTGTAACATCGAGGAGTACTTCATGTTGTTCCAAGCAGTCCACAAACGATGCTGAAAACTTGCCTTGCCTTGCTTTGCTCACCAATATTGTATTCCTTGCCTTAAACGTTTCCTTTTTCTTCTCATTTTCCCTCGACTTGTGTTTCTTTCTGTTTTCAGTTTATTCCACATTTGACGACCAGCTCTAGGAATGTTTTTTTAAAAAGAAAATGCTTTCAATCTCACTTCCTAGCGCTCTCAATCCATCCATCTCCATTTGTCGGATTACTTTCAGGGTTTTCTTGGATTTTGTTCGACTCATTTGCATCTTCATAGTCTTCTTCATCTAATAAACTTGAGCAAGTCCAGGTCTAAAATTTTGAGCATTGAAAGCTTCAGTGAAGAAGCTATACATCTTTAAAATCTGATAGTTGTAAGTTGGCTAGTTTCAATCTGATAGTTTCAATTCAACCAGGTTCTTAAACAAAAAGATTACTATTTAAGAAAACATTTGCTCACCATCGGATCATCAACATGACTTGGGCCAGCTTCATTCGAATGTCCATTCTCATATTTCCTTTGTTCTTTCTTCACTTCGCTACCGTTCACCGAGCTTTGCATAGGAGAAACTGAACTTTTAAAAATAAGATCTAGTAAGAATCTGATGCTCATGCTTGCTTCAGTAAGAATCTCATTGCCATCTTAAAAACTACAATACTCTCAGTAAAACTCTACAGCGTAAAACTCTACAGTAAAAAACTCTCAGTACTAACACAACAGTAAACCTTATTCTGCTGTGACGAGATGAAGGTTTTCAGTTATGCATAAAAAGTATTCAAGCGTCAAAACTGAATAGCCTTAATAGCGTAGTTGCAAAGCTTAAAAAAACATTCCCTATTAACTCTTGGATATTTTTCTGGTACTGTAGTCTGGTCTACTACTGTAGTTAGCTGAAAAATGTTAGTGAAAAATGAGGCAAAATCATTGATAGCCGGTTTAAAACCAAATCCACAAATTTCCAGACAACTACGATATTTTTATTGCTTATTGTGTTCATGAATATACGGCAAAGGTAGAAACCCGTGAACATTTCGAAATGTAAAGGCAATTGATCACAACCGAAGGGGGGAAACCCATGAAGACTATTTGCGAAGATATGTGACAATATTTGGGGGAAAAGGCAAGATTAAAATAAAACAAGATAAAACAAAACAAAATAAAATAAAACAAAACAAAACAAAATAAAATAAAACAAAAACAAAACAAAACAAAATAAAACAAAACACATCACAAACTGGGATCACAAATCTGTGCAAATCTGTGCAAATATCAGAAATTTTTAATAGATTTATATGACTGGCTGTTTTTCTTGAGAAATAGTTTCAAATAGTAAAAGAAAAAAGCTACTGTAATCCCGTTTTCGCATTTTAACACAGTAACCAGCTGAAGGTCATCAAAGGGTAGCTCATTAAGTAAAGTGTATAAAAGTCTTACGATAAAGTCTTACGATTACGGTAGCTTAAACAAACGACTGTGGTGGCTTACATAAAGGATTACGGTAGCTTTATCGAGCGAAAGACTACGCTAGCTTAGATGAAGGATCACGGTAGCTTATAGAAGGATTGTGGTGGCCTATGTAAAGGATTACGGTAGCTTTATCTATTGAGCTAATATTATAGTTTAATGACACACATTTAAAGTAACCTAACATCAAAACAAGGGATCACAAAGTTGCGCAAAATTCTTGTATTTTGAGCTGAGTTTCCAGAGATTGGTAGAGAAGAATTGCTCGAAGAATTTCCCCTCACAGAGACCGTCGACGAATTCGGGACAAAATGAAAGCTAAAGAGATTCACTTTGTAAATTGGCAATTCTTTTATCTTTTAATATATATGTCGTAGCGGATTATGAATGAGATTTTTTGGCAAATCTTTCTAGTAGATCAACCCTTTAATGTATGAGGACAATATTATATCATTTTGTAGCGAATTAAATTCTGCGTCGATTGGTACCAAATTTGTGGGTTTAGGTTAAAAATTGCCGGCGCTACAATGTTTCATCCAAAATCGGCGGGACCCCCGTAGCCGATTATGAATTTCAGCCGATTATGAATGAGTGGGTCTAGGAGCGTCCAACCATCAAGTATCTGGTATCATTCAACACAGAATCATTAATAATTATGTTAAATTTTTTAAATTAGAAAGATTGAATAAAAAGAAAAAAAATCAGAGCAAAAAAACTGTTTGTTCAAGAGAAAACTTTGAAGCCCCATAATTTTTTTCTTTTTATCCAATCTTTCTAATTTAAAAAAATTTAACATAGTTATTAATGATTCTGCGTTGAATGATACCAAATACTTGATGGTTGGACGCTCCTAGACCCACTCATTCATAATCGGCTACGACATATAGTTTTAGTAAATCATTAGGCTCATCTATCCCTATTGAGTCTCATTGAATCGAAATCGTTTTGGATTTGTGAAGTTTTCGTTCAATTACCCAAGTCAGTGGGTGATTGAATCAAAGCTTCAATTATCAAAGTCATTGGTAATTGAACCAGTAATTGAACCGGTAATTGAACCGGTAATTGAACCGGTAATTGAACCGGTAATTGAACCGGTAATTGAACCGGTAATTGAACCGGTAGTTGAACCGGTAATTAGAACCGGTAATTGTACCGGTACCGGTAATTGAACCGGTAATTGAACCGGTAATTGAACCGGTAATTGAACCGGTAGTTGAACCGGTAATTGAACCGGTAATTGAACCGGTAGTTGAACCGGTAATTAGAACCGGTAATTGAACCGGTAATTGAACCGGTAGTTGAACCGGTAATTAGAACCGGTAATTGTACCGGTACCGGTAATTGAACCGGTAATTGAACCGGTAGTTGAACCGGTAATTGAACCGGTAATTAAACCGGTAGTTGAACCGGTACCGGTAATACCGGTAATTGAACTTGAACAGATTCTAAAGATAATTAAAGATCAAACAAAAATTATGATTATTTTTTGTGAAAGTATTAGATTTTTGTAATTTTGTTTATCCGTTTAGCCAAACCTTTGGCGTTAGATCTTTCCCATTGAAGAGTAATCGGATGAAGATTTGCTGCTGCTCGTTTGAATAATACTAAAGCTCTATTTTGAAATTTCTTGATGAGTTGTAAAAATTGTAGCTTAATATCGCTGTATATCAATTCTAAGCAACCTCAAAAACGACTCGACTCGCGTATCTCGGTGGATCTTCCGGCAAAATCCTCAGCACTCGCAATAGCGGGCCAACCGTTGTATCGTGACCCGATAAGAGCTGAAATATTGTATTGATCTAGAATTTTCTATTTTCTTACCATAATCTTGTTCTTCTTTGGATTCTCTTGCAAGATCGGCACCATTTTGGCGACTTTACCTAAATGAAACAATGTTTTCGATGAAGCCTCGCCTTATCTAAGTAACACAATGATTCAACGGGATGTAGAATTCGTGGCAAAAACCCATACAAAAATACTCGCATTGTTCTTTGTTTTGTGAAAAAAATTGAGCCAAATTTAATGCAATCGATTGAAGCTAATCATTTATTTATTTAAGCTATTCTATTTATTTATTAATAGCTATTTATTAATTAATTAGAACTCGGGTTTAATTGATCTAAACTTTTCGTGAAACGCGGAACTTATTGACCGAATTGTTGAAATTGTTGAAATTCTTAAAATTCGAAACTATCTCGCATTTTGGGGAAAAGGAAAAAAAACGTCCCGTACTCTTTTGTATATCCATTTTCTTAAGCCACAAACCAACCAATCACACTGTACGCTTCGGCCATTTGAAGTCGCTTTGCAATGAAGTCAGTCTCTCGATTGAACATCGTTTCCCCACGTAATGTGGTCTCAGCAAATATCTGAATATCAGTTTATTGGATATACAACTCTTGTTCTTTAAAGTTTAAGAGTTTAATTCACACTTAAATCTTTGCACTTAAATCATCACTTAAACTTCACTACACAAGAAAGGAAGCACCATGAGGTATACCTTATACTCACTACAGGGTGCGTCATAATTATTGCAACAAGAGTTCAAAGACCGTTTTCCAAACAGCTTTCTTATTTTTTCTGCCCCCTTTTTTGTTGTGTTGCGTTCTATCTTTTTTTTATTCTTGCCTAATTGCCTCCCGCTCACACGAAGAAGACGGTTCAGGACTGGTGTGTGGCCAACTTTCCCATCACCAAGGATGAATGGCCTCCAAACTCACCGGATCTCAATGTGATGGACTTTTCTATTTGGGCAATCTTAGAGGCTAATGTCTGCTCTTTGACCTTGAAGAAGTCTTTGACCAAAGGATGGAAGGCGACTCCTCAAGATGACATTCGGGCCGCAGTGGAGGCATATCCGAACCGATTAAGGGCTGTTATCAAGGCAAAAGGCGGTCATATCGAATGATCTCTTGTTTCCTTATTTGTTACTGTTAAATAAAGCTATTTCTGTTTAAAAATCTTCTTCCAGTGAAACTTCTTGGTGTGCAATGCCTTGAGTATCTTGTTGCAATAATTATGAGGTACCCTGTATATTATTGAAGATCTCTAAAACTAGGCAAAAGTAATCTAGGTTTATTAACTCATTTTATAAATCTAGACTTATTAATTGATTTTATTAATTGATTTTATTCATTGGTTATAATTAAAGACATTAATTAAAGAATTAATTAAAGAAACCTTTTCCAAAAGCTCATACGTAATACATTCCCCTTTCACAGTGCATGGCAATTGCTGACGGCGACACGAATAGAAACCGAATATTCTAAAATTTCTTTTAAATCTTCTTTCAGTTTTCCACCTTACTTGTCTTCAAAATCAAAAGGATCAGCGAAAGTCTCGGTTGTGGCGATTTGTTCAAAGATTTTACACTCATCACGGAGAAGAGCGGCCGTTTCTTCTTGGTAGTACTTCACGTGTTCCTGGAAAGCAAAAAGTAATCACTTATAAATAAAGTACTTCATCAATACCACTGACCCTTTCATATTGTCTCCTCCACTCAAACGCTTTCTCACATTTGCACCACTCCTCGTGCTCCGAGCATAAATAAGTGGTGCTCGAGAAATTAGCATAAACATTTCCAGTGATCGTTCTGAAAACTATTTTATTATCCGTTAACTGAATATCCGTTAACTGAATATCCGTTAACTGAATATCCGTTAACTGAATATCCGTTAACTGAATATCCGTTAACTAAATATCCGTTAACTAAATATCTTGCAAGCCTAGAAACTTTTGGTAAATGACAAAATGGTAGACAGTCATCTTTAATCTACCTGAGTGGGTAAAGAAATCCGGAAACGAAAGCCGTAAGCGATTGCCATGTCCTATTGTATGGAGTTGTCATTGTGAACACCTCAAGTTGATCATCTAAAAGAAAACGTTTTGGCCTGGCTTGGCTTAACAAGATTTTACCGGTGCTTAGCTGGTACTCGTATTATTTAAACAGTCTCATAGTAATAGTCGTTGAATAAAATCTATCTAATATCTGCTACTAGTAAAACATTTCACTCACTCATCAACAGAGACGAGTTCCAGTATCGCTCGTGGAAGAAATTCCCCAATCGATGATGCTGCATTGCTCCCTCAGCGGTCATTTGTCCACGCACACATATTGAGCTAAAAGTTTTCCTTTCAGAAATCTTTTATATTGTTATATTGTTATATTGTTATATTGTTATATTGTTATATTGTTATATTGTTATATTGTTATATTGTTATATTATTATATTGTTATATTATTATATTGTTATATTATTATATTGTTATATTATTATATTGTTATATTATTATATTATTATATTGTTATATTGTTAAACAGTTATATTGCTTCATTTATCAAAAGTACAGTTTTTAAATACCCAACCGATGAGGCAAGTTCGAGAATCCCTCCTTTAAAGCTGAATCCTCTTTGTAGAAGTTCCGAAATTCGTTCGATTCAATTAACTAAAATTTTATAGGTTTACATGAGCAACAAAATACTTTGCACTCAAATAGAAACACGCAGCTTCTAGTGCACTCAATCTTATGATTAAATGTTAGGAAAAGAGGAGGATTGAGTGGACTAGAAGACGTGCGTTTCCGAATACAAATTGTGAATACAAAGTACAGCTCAAAGAGTTCTATACACATAATTCTCACGGTGCAAAGTTCCACATTTCGCTTACCTTTACGTAGCGATCGAAAGCTCGTCGATCCGTCTCATGAAATGGCGCACAGGAGATCAAATTGAGTAGTTTCTCATTTTTCGTTAGCGGTGATCTTTCTCCATGTCTTGTCAACACCAACAATCCCCTCAATCGATATTTTCCTGGGTAATCTTTCGGGATTTTCCGTGGCTCTTTAACGATTTCCAGTCGACCTAAAGTTTTAGTTTATATCTAACCCTTAAAATTTTATAAGTTCTAAGATTTCTAATCTACCTTCTTCTCCGTGAATCGGATCCTCAAGAAATTGACAATAATCTCGGAATTTCAGCGGTATCGCATCAGCCGGAGACAATACGGCTCTCTTTCCTGGACAAAATACTTTTACAGATTTAATGCAAAGTAAAAGTAAGTTCCAGGCTACAGTAATGGGCACAAGAATCACTGTAATCCTGATGCTAATTCGATAAAACTCACTTTCGTTCTCTTGTTGTCCATAAATCAGACTGCTGCCATTCCCATCGACAAGTTCGAGACTTGAAAGCCCTGGAGAAAGTTTTTTTTGGGGTTGCTTGAAAATTTCTATCACAAAAGCAGGGTATGGCTTGGCTTCAATCAGGATTATAGAATTAAAAATACCGAAGTTTTTCGTGGCTTTACATAGCTTGATCTATCCTGGCTTTTAACCTAGCTAGCGATGGTTTATGACCTATAGGACCAGCTCTTTTTGCCAAGGCCAGGATTAGCTAGATATGGTAGACTCATTTATTCAGTTCACTCATTCATAGCTATGAGCACAAGTGAAATCATGATCTTACTTATAATAAGACGCAAAGTTTGTCTGTCCGTTCATTTCGTAACTCGAGTCCCATTAGGAATTTTGGTCTGATTTTTTGGGACAATATGTAATCGACTACTGTGGTTTGGCCTGTTAAATCAGATTTTAAAAGTCTTTAACCGTTTTTGAGCAATGTTGGGAAAATTGGCGGTGGCGACATCAAAGGTCTCCGTTAACTCCGCCCCTTTTTTGGTCCATTTGCCGTTGGCAACCTACCGTAAATACTGTAATAGTCGCTCACCCCCCTCGTACAGTCGCGTAGTCGCAAAAGTTTTTTAGTATTTCATTTTTTTCAAAGCCCGTACATTCAAAATGCGTCTTTGGTATCAAAAATAGCTGAAATTCAAGGCTATTTTTTGATACCTAAGCGCGCATTGTAGCATAAACTAGTGTCGAGAAAAACTCGTTCAAAGCTAGACTACGCAACACTGCGCACCGTCACTATGGGGGTGGGATAGTATTACAGTATTCACGGTACGTATTTTGCTCGTATCTTAGCCGGGTTTATTTGAATAAACGTTGAATTTGCTTTCATTCGACTCGAAATCAAATTTTCTATCGAATGAAAAAGTAAATCCAACGTTTTTCAAACAAATCCAATCAAGGTACAAGCAAAATTCGTGGATTGCCAATGGCAAACGGAGCAAAAAAAGGGGGGAGTTGAGATGATTGCTGCTGGTGTAAGTGATAAACAAACTGACAATTGCCTAAAATCGAGAGGCTCATATAAATGATGGAGATGAAGAGGAAAACACGGAAACACCATTGCACTCCACCGCTCATTTTTGCAAACATTCATCAGCTTTCCTACATCATCTAGAATATTAGTTGAATTCAGTCAATTGAATCGAATCAAATCAAAGTCACAGCTTTAAAAAAAAAAAAAAAGATAATCATTTGATCGGAACATATTTCTTAAATAAGTCATAAAAGACAACATTTATTCACAGAATTTCGAAATTGAGATCACTTTTTTTTTGGATTAGATTGACAAGAATTTGAGATCGATGAAGTAAATTTTAGCTTATTTAATATGCAACAAATCTTATAAATATCACAAAATATATGCAAAAATTGGTACAACGTCGTTATACAATCGCACAGCTATATGCTAATGTTATCATAAAGTTGCTGTCTAGGTAGATATTGGTAATCTATTTGTTGTTGTCTAGGTAGATATTGATAATCTATTTGTGTAAATAAATCCTAGACTTATTTCAATGCAAATCTTTTTACTATCCTAATTTTACGATGGTATATGGTATATGCTTGCTTTGTGAGGTAAAACAATATTATACCCAAAAATTCACGTGGCAAAACGCTTAGGAGATTCTGAAAGACAATAAAAAAAAAACTTTTTGGCAATTTCAAAAGATATAAAGTGATATGCAAATCGCAGATATGCAAATCGAGAAAGTTTGAGTAAAGAAAAATCACTGAAATGCTATGTGCAAGTAATTTTAAGATAAATAAACCATAGAATCATTGGAGTAATTTTTTGAGGTGTACTCAAACGTGGAAGTGCACCGTTTCGGTACACTAAATCCCTCCATTGTGCACCAGAAGTTGTGTGTTTCCAAAGTACACAAAGTAATGTCTACCACTCAATCTCATCATTGTCATTTTGAATCTGATCGAGGCCGAAACTCGGCACAACGATTTCCTCATCGCGACGGGGATTTGCAGACGTTGAGGGACGCTGAAAATTATGATAACTTGTAGGTGACAATAATATTGTATCTAAAATCTAATCATCTTCAGTTATCTCATAGCTTTCTTATCTTCCATTGTTGATTGTTTATGGATAATTGTATTCTCGGAATTGGAAACCGATTGAAGCTATTCATTTTATTGAGTCTACCAATTGGAATTCGTGTTTAAGTGGTCTAAACTTTAAGATTAGTTTACAATGGCAAAAAATATAGGGATAGATTGGAAAGAGTACCTGTTCAACTTTCGTTTCCCCGTCAGCTTTCCTCTGATTCATCACAAGTGACATATACCTTGCCATCACCGGATCGACTCCCTCAAAAAGGGGATTCTCTTGAGAGTTTGCTTGAGTCTCTAAAATTCTTTTCATCCAACAATTTCCTGTGCACATTTACCTGTTTCTTCTCTTTTCACTGTTTCTCCTTGTTGTTGATCATTCAAATTTCCCAGCGCTCTCTCCCTTTGCAATTCCCGTTGTCGAAGTCTTTCCTCAAAAGAGGGCTTCTCCTTTGGTCTGAAAATGTGAATGAAAATTCTAGATACACAATAGAAATTGATAGTAATTAAGACTTTAGATAAAATAGATTCAAGATACAAGATTTTCCAGACTTACGGAGATTTAGGAACTTCTACTTTCACGGGAGCTTCATCGGGGATTTTGATAGATTTTATATTTTTCATTTCCTCATTGATCCGTGCTGGTTTTTGCTCGGGAATCTAGAAATTCGATTACATTCTAATTTTATCGAGTTTATTTTTACCGATTTTTGATTTTTCCAGGTTTCCCTGTCATTAGCGGCTGCTTGGTGACTCGTTTCATCCACTCGACGCTGTCTCGAGGCTTGCTCGTGTCTTTCTTTTTGTCTAAAAATTCATTTTCTTGTATGTTGTTTAAATAAATTGAATTTAGGAATGTGATCTATATATTCACCTTTCATGTTCCCCCTTTCTTGAAACTTGTTCACGACAAAAGTCATCCAATTCCTGCGATTCCCAATCGTTTGCTGAAACAGCGCTTCGAAAGCCAAGGAAACGATCTGCGCATGCGTCCAAATCCTAGAAGAAATAGAATTAAAATGAGCTTTATGATGATTGATAACGATTTCACTAATGAAAGTAGCTTAAAAGCTGAATCTAGAAACTATAGCAGTTTAGAATTTATCAGGGTTAAGGATCTCAAGCTGAGCTGTTCCTAAAAGAAAACGTCAAAACGCTAATGGTTTTTGGCTTTTAGAAATAGCCCTGCTTGAGATTCTGAATCCTGGTTAGTCAAGTGAAAGCCAAGCCAAAACCAAAGCCAAGCCAAAACCAAAAGCAAACCAAGCTCTACTTGTACAAAAGCAAAAATACATATTAAGGCTGAGCTTTGGTCTGACTTTGGCTTGGCCTGGTTTTGCCTGAAAATCTTCTAGAAACAGCCCTGTCATCAAGTAAAAATAACTCATTATCTCGCTCAACAGCCATTTAGTTACGTGTTTACAATGCTCCCTGATCATAAAACATAATTAGAGAGCCATTTAACCAAGTAATCAGTGCTACTCACTCTTGACTTTTGTCCCAAACCATTCAACCGTTTCCGAATCTCTCGAATATCCGAGTCTCCATCCGAAGAAAAACCAATCGTCGATGATGACGTGCTTTCCGAAGAACTTCTAGATTTTAGACATAGATCTAAATTTTTTTATTTAAAGGAAACTTCATTCTGTTTCTTCTCGTTTTTGACAGGCTTCTTCCTCGTCTTTCCTCTCTCATATTTTGCACATCTTTTCTTCTCATTTCTTTCAATTGACTTCGAAGATAATTTCGCTCTTGAGTCACCGTTTTCACTCGATCGTTCTGAAATGGTTTGGTTTTAATTAAAAATTTCAACGTTGGAATGATTTTCTAACTAGAGGTTTTAAAATGCCCGATGCTCATGACTTTTTAAAACGAGATCAACTCCATCTTATAGAAACGACTACGCTGATTCCGAATACGCTACGTTTTTGCCCTCGAGGCCTCTAACGCAAGATATCTGAGTTACAAGTTTTAGGCCTCTTTAATTAAGTTCATTTTTTGCAACGGAGCCAACTACGGACGTGGTGCATCACCAAAGCTGTCGACTACGGTTTCAAAGGTCGATTCGATCCTGGGTCGATCCCCTTCACCTGGCGACTATTCCCTAGTAAATATTGCCCGTAGAATGTGTGGTCAAGCATATTGTCTACTCACTTACACGCTAGATCATCATTTTTAACCTATTCTACTCATTTTTCTCATACTCAGTAAGCTTCTCTCCACCAACCATCATCGTCAACGCCAACCGCAACTCTCGAATCTTCAACTGTGCCGCTTCTTCAGCTGCTCGGTGTTCCCTTTGCATCAACTCAAGTCGCGCAACACTGGCCGAGTTGTCGCCCGATTGACGAATCGTGTCAACGATCTGTATTTGCAATCAATTATTTAAAACTTGAAACTATTCTTCATCCTCAAAAGACTAAATAAGTTTGAACTTTAAAAAAAGGCAGTCACCTTATATATAACCTGTAAAATTAAACGGATAAGCTAGCTAAAGAAAGCAGCAAAAGAAAGGCCCACCTGTTGCTTCAATCGCTGATTCTCATCTTTCAATCCTTGATAATCGGCTTTTGATCGCAATTTTTCCTCAAGTTCTCGATTCTCATTAACACATCGCTTTAGCTGTTCTTTTGTGCTGGATAAATCGTTCTGAAATGAGCTTAGCTTAAAATGAATAAAAAACCCTCACCTCAATCCCCAGCATTTCATCGAGTTTCTGACGAAGTTCGAAATTTTGCGATCCCGCGTCGGCGAGTTTTCTGAAAAAGTTATGATTAGTTTATTAAGCGAAAAGTTTACTTTGTAGTATCAGTAATTCTCATCTCGAGAGTTCGAATCCGTTCAAAACTTTCAATCTTTTCAGCTTCAGCAAAAGCTTTTGCCACACGTCTTGCTCGTTCCTCTGTTTGATTCAAACTCGCTTCTAAAGTTGCAAATATAAAGAGCCTACATATAAATATATATACAAATTCGAATTTTGCTAGATAGTGATTGAATTTGAATAGTTTATTCTTCATTTATTCTTCAGTCTCTACAATTTTTCTTTTCTTTTGTTCAATAAGTTTATCTTGTGTGATTTTGTCAATTAATCATGTTCCATTATTACTCTTTCATGCTTACATGAATAGATATTAAAGAAAATATTGATATTGATATAAAACCATTGTTCTATAAAGCTTCTCAAACCTTTTCTTTGTATCCTTTCCCTTTCCAATTGTATCCCTTCAATTTCTTCATCTTTTTTCGCTCTCCATTCATTTTGCACAAACTCGAATTGCTCTTTTGCGTTGAGAAACTCGGAAAGACGATTCTCGAGGGTTAGACGATCTGCTTCAAGCTTTGATTCGCGTTCCTGGAATAGAAAATTTTTTGCTTTCATTTCAATCCCAAAATCCCTTTCCTCCAAATGAACTCACCCTTATTTTGTACTCGATTTGGTGTCGAACATTCCTCTCGCGTTCTCTCATTTTCTCCTCATTTCTTCTCCTTTCTTTCTCCAAATCTGCTCGAATCACCGATCGTTCGGCCTCATATTCATCTCGCATTTCGCCCAATCGTCGATCCACTTCACTCTGGAATAGAAGATTCGACATAAATATAGTTGGAATCAGGGCTAAGCTAAGTTGGAATCAAGGCTTAAGAAAATTCTGGATCGGATCGGATCAAGCTCCAGTTTTACCCCCGATTTCTCAAATCTCAAATCGGATCCAGGTTGATTTGAATAATGTAATAAGCTTTATGATAACTATTTATTTTTAGGATCCGGAAAAATTCTTACCCAAAAGCATCACCACTAGAGTATCAAGAAAGAGTTTTTTTCTCTGATTGTCTTGTCTAGAATCTTATTATTTTCTCTATTCTTATTACTACTTTCTTATCCAAGAATCTTATTATTTTCTCATGAACTAAATGAATTTCAATTCGAAACCATTACCCTTGTCGCGTCTCTGGATTCTCTCATTCGATCCTCGTATTTCCTCTCAACTTTTCGCACAATCTGTTCGGCTAATAGTTTCATTTTTAACGATTGTTCGACGGGCAGCAGCTGAAATTATATATTTTAGCCCCATTAAGCCAATTAAGCTAACCTTTTGGTTCGGTTTATCGACATTCATTGCCTGTGCAAACCCTCTTTCTTGCCCAATCACTCGAGTCACGGCTCTCGTCAAAAGTGTGTCCAAATCCGGTGGGATCACTCGTGTCTAGATATCGTTAAATTAAAATTAACATTTATTAAAGACTCACCCTTTGATTCCTATTCATTCTTTTCTATCACTACACTAAATTGTAGACACTCTTTCGTCAACTGATCATTTTCGTTTCGAAACTGAAACTATTAACTAGTAGATAAGAAAATATTATATCAAAATATCGTTGATAATATTTCAAAATGATCAAGTTGAACGAGATTTTCCACGTGAATTAGCAGCTGGTTGCCATATAAGAGAAATGAAAAGAAACGAGACAATCCAAATGACGAAAAGGAAAAGAGAAAGGGAAAAGAAAACCCCACAAACACAGGTCACTCATCTCGGCTAGGAAATGAATCAACAAAAGGACAGAGTGACATCAAAAGAGAGTATTGATTTGAGGAGATTTCGCTCAAGTAATGCGTTTTCTAAAAAGTGTCAACTTTTGAAAACTACTGTAATCTTGTCGCTTGTTTTATTCAATCTATCGCCTTTTGTTTCTTTTTAGCATCATAGAATCAAACAAAAAGTAAATAGATTGATAGAGATAAGTTTACGGTAGCTTTCGAAAGTTGGCGCGCTTTAGAAAACGACACTAACATTGATAACTGACAACTTACATCCAGAACACTTTATGTAAACATTATCCCTAAATTGATAAGAATAAGTACTGTTTCCAACACTTGAAGATTAAGAAGAGTTTGCGAAGAAAAAGAACATTTAAATTTGTACATTTATGCTCCAAAATCTTTAACTTTACTTGTAAATTATTATTTAGAACTCAAATAGACCATTGTGTTGTGTCGACCGACCAACTGTTAACGAAAAATTTCCATAATTTTCATAATTCATACATAATTTCAAATTATGGTAATGCAAATTATAGCTTTTCAATCATAAATTTAAAAATTTATCGAGAAATCTTTAAAAACGCTTGTTTTTGAAATTTTTGAATATCATCAATTATCGATTATCCCAGATACTAAATCATGATTTTAGCTTTAATCAGAAAATAAACCCAACCGACATTGATCCTCCACCAATTTTATATGAAGTACCATAAGGAGACCATTGACCCTGAAAATAACTTGGAAACTTAAAAAGCTAATAATAGAAAAAAAAATCGAAGAAGTTAGATAAGAAAACGTAGACTTAGAACTTATTTAAGAACAATTTACGTAAGAGCTTTGCTGGGCGTAGCTTGGGCTATAACCACCGTCGTTTTGACCTGGAAAATTTAAGGATACAAAGCGAATTTGTTCGCTTTACCATAATTTGCAGAATAGCCTTGAGAATATCCATTATATCCAGCGTATGCCGGCTGTTGTTGGCCATAGCTGGCACCAGAATATCCACCGTAGCTCGTGGAAACCGGCTGTTGTTGGCCATAGCTGGCACCAGAATACCCACCGTAGCTCGTGGAAATTGGGGATTGGCCTAAAAAGTGGATGTTAGCAAGTTAAAAGATGTCGAATACTTAAAGAATACCCAGTTATTTCTAGCCGTTATACTGTAGTGAGAGGCGTATGCCGTATGAAAATATTCGGTCATATCACCCAGCTCATCTTGAAATTTTAGTCCAGTCGACGCTCGATAGTAAATCATTGAAGGAATTCTCCAAAAATGATTTACTATCGAGAGTTTTGCCTAATCAGTTCTTCAATCAAATTCAAAACATCAAAAACACTGTGAATAAGCTGATAAATAACATTTTGTGGCATTAATACGACGTGGCTTTAACACGAAATGCTTAAACAGAAGTAAACACTAGGCTTTGCGGGGATTCAACTTTTCAAAACTGTTTTTAATGACTAGAAAATTAGAATAGATTGTAAGCAACAGTCTTTAGGATATCTTTATACAGTCGAACCTCTCTACAACGTAACTCACGGGACCGGCTATGGTTTACGTTATATAGAGGTTTACGTTATATCGAGGTTTTGTTATATAGAATCAAAAACGCGGGGTTTATTGCAACCATTACGTTATGTAGAGGTATTGGAACATATTTATTGCAAAAACTCAACAAAAAAGGTAAAAAAATTATCAAAAAGCATCAAAGTTTAACAAAAAAGTTAGTCAAACGGGATTGTTTAGGAGAAAAAAAAAGCCTAATCAAAGAAAAAATTATCAAAAGTTGCTAAAGCCTTAACAATTTCGGAATTAGGGTTATTCCTCACAAATATCTTGAGCTTTTGAAGATGTAGATATGCCTCGGATCGTGTCACTATCGGCTCTTCCACGTCTTCAACGATTGGCTCATCATCCTCGCTATCAGAAGAAATCGACTGTAGTTGCGAACCTAAGGAAACATAATTGATCTTTTCCTTAAATTAGCATTACTTTAAACGATATAATCTGTACCTTTAGCAGCTAGTGCAATTTCCTCTAGCGATCTTAACCCTGTAGTCACAACATTTTCGTCGGCGCAAGCAAATTCCAAAGGGATTGATTGATCGATCAACGTCTTCACTATCAATAAGTTGATTCCAGATAGCCTGCAATGATTGTAGCGAGTTATCGTCGTCGTTATTGTTTTCGATAAATGGCGGCTCATCTTGCATACATCTCTTGAATCCGGCCTTACGAAAACAATTTGAAAGCGTCTCCACTTTAACGTCATTCCAGGATTCTTCGAGTAGGTATAGTGCATCCAAAAGATTAAATTCGAATTTGGCCTTTGCATCGACAGCTGCAATTCTTTTTTTCAACAATCCTGTTCGGTGTCTGACCTTCAGATTTTTAATTATTCCCATATCCATTGGTTGGATTACCGCAGTTGCATTCGGCAAAAAGAATTTAATCTGAATGTTTGATAAATTGAGCTTCGGATGTGCTGGACAGTTATCAATAAACAACAAAATTTCCCGATTAAATTTGATCAAATTTGAATTCCATTTCTTGAGATAGCTCTCAAATAATTCGCTGGTCATCCACGCTCTTGAATTTGCTTCGTACAAAACAGGAAGTTTTTTGACATCCTTAAAGCAACGCGGATGCTTCGATTTACCAATCACGAATAAAGGGCATCTTTCGCTTCCATCCATATTTGATCCGACGAGAACAGTGATTCTATTCTTGCTCTTCTTTCCACTTGTGCATCTATCGCCTTTGAAAGACAACGTTTTATTCGGCGTTAACTTGTAAAAAAGAGCTGTTTCATCCAAGTTAAAAACATTCTTTGGCTCAAATTCTTTCAAGAGTCCCTTCAATACTTCATCTTTCGACTGCTCAACATTGTTCAGGTCGATTTCGGCTGCTTCTCCTTGTAGGGAACGAAAAACAATGCCATGCCTATGCTTCAGCTTTTCTAGCCATCTATTGCTAGCTCGGAAATCGGTAATATCCATCAACTTTGCAAGCTCCAGAGCTTTTGTTCGAAGCAAATTTCCGTCCACACATTCATTGTTGCTTCGAATCTCTTTCAACCAAGAAATAACCGCACCTTCCAGGTCCTCGTGTTTGCTATTCTTCACTCGTGCTCGCTTGCCCTGAGAACCGTCATTGATCGCATTAGAAATCGTTTGCTTTTGGCCCAAAATCGAAGAAATGGTCGAAATTGGCCGCTTGAATTCCCTTGCTAAATCCGTTACTCCTTTCGAAGTTGAAGCATCAAGAATTCGCTTTTTTTCAGCTAGATCGATCCTTTTCCGGGTCGCCTTCTTTCGCTCCATCGCCTGAAAAATGATAAATAAGATTTAATACAGAAAATAAGCACGTAAAAAGAGTAAGTGAACGATATATGAACGCAAAACTTATTAAGAATCTATGTAAGTGATTTTTTTTTCTTCTTTTAAATTGTGGCAAAAAGGCCACAGATTAGAATAGTCCATCCAAAGAGCATGGTAGTTGGAAGAAATATCCACGTTTTAGCATAAAATCCGTTATATGGAACAAAAAATTGCATATTTTCAGGCAAAACTTTCCGTTGTATAGAGGTTTACGTTATACAGAGTTACGTTATATCGAGGTTTTTTTATAGACATTTTGTATTACATTTAACCGGGACCGGTCACGCCTTACGTTATAGAGAGGTTTACGTTATATCGAGGTTCGTTATAGAGAGGTTCGACTGTATCTTTATATTTTTAGTATATCTTTATATCTTTAGTATATCGTTATATCTTTAGTATATCTTTATATCTTTAGCATATCTTTATATCTTTAGCATATCTTTATATCTTTATATCTTTAGTATATCTTTTATATATAGTAAATAATGTAATGAGCATACCAACCAGCATTCCCATAAAGAATGATCGGTCCAAGGGCTGGATTCACGGGCACCGGTCCATTCGCCGTCAAATACACCAAATCACTTGTGTCCACTTGCCCGGGATAAGCTGAGAAAATAAGTAGATAAGATAATGAAATAGATTTTAAAAGTACTGTAGTGTTGTGGTTGATAGTATCCTTGAGTTCTTTGTGGTTGGTAGTAGGCGGGGCGATAGGGGCGATTCGGTGAATAGAAGGATCTCTGAAATGAGTATGCCAGCAACCATACGATTTTGAAAAATACCTGATATGTGGAGTATCCTGTTGATTGAATGGGCCTTGGGTTATAATTTGAATTCTGAAAGTGAATGCAATGAGTTAAAAGGAGCCCAGGTATTGATTTCACTGAGCATTTTATTGCTTTAAATGCCCCCAGGGGACAATGCTGTCATGGCCGACTGGCTAAGAGCCCTGTATCATCGTCAGGAGGTCAAGGGTTCAATCCCGCCGACTAGAATTTTGGTTCTTTTTCTCATATATATGACTTTTTTTCTTTCATAAATTTAGGGCTTAAGAGTTGTACTTGTGTATTCTTTGTATTACATTATTCGTCTAAATCAATTTATTGTTATTAAATAATAACTAAGCCCACTAAAATCCGACTGATAGTGAGACTGAAAATTAGCATTTCAAAGCAAGCTGAACGGTGCTCCGGATGAAATATTGAATACGCTACACTAAGGATTTATGAAGTCAAAATATTTCTATAGATATCAATGGATTGATATAACTAACTTGGTACATTGGTGTGTTCGAAGGTGGCTGGAATGCCCTCATCCTATAGCTGGGGGTCTGAAACTTTAAAAAAAATTAAGCAAAGTTCACGTAGTCATCCTTATCAAATTTCGGTCGGTTCTCATCCCCATCATCTTTCCCTTTATCATTCTTTTGCGAACCGTATTAGTAGGGTTTGGAATAAGCTCCCGTCTGGTATCTTCTCGTCTGTAGGAAAATGCAAAGTATTGGGTTGGGGGAGAATGAGTCGGCGCCGAAATTTAAAGAAACTTTTTGCACCCATAAAACCTTCTTTAAATACACGTTTTGTTTCATCAAAATGGTCCACTATTTCTTTACAAAATGGCTTTTGAGAGATTCCACAAAGCTTTTCTTTTTTGGGATTTTATGGATTCCCAAACACAGCTAATCAAAATGACAAAAAGTCCGACTCATTGCTTGAACAGTTTCTTCCACATAAACCTCCTTTGGTGTTTATATAAAAAAGATAGAGCACACTCAATTACATAAGTTACCAAATTTTCAGAAAGATCCCTCCAACCGTTTACTCTAGATGACAGTTTATCGATTTTGTGAAAAAATGATCCTTTGTTGAGTTGAGGCGCTGTTTGAGTTCTCTTTTAAATATTATTTTGTAGAGAATTAGTTACCCTTCTACGGATATCAAACGCATATCATTTGACAAAGTCTGCTATAAGTTTTAGAAATTTCTTTGATTTTCGGCGCCGACTCATTCTCCCCAACCCAATATCTGTGAACGAATTAGATCTTATTGCCATGTCAAATCTGCCCTATATTTAATCTTTTTGTATCTGTGTTTCCTAACTGTACTCTTACTGTACTATCTTTAGTTTTATCTCTTTTTTCGGTGAGAGTATTGTAGCAATATGTTATATGCAGTTATGATTATCTGATTCGCTTCTATTCGCCCCATGAATAAAGCATATATATATGTTGTGTCCGATTTAGATTTCCGTCCGATTTAGATTGAATCTAAATCGGACGCCCGATTAAGATTGAACTTATCGCGGACGTCCGATTTAGATTACAGTCTATATCGGACGTCCGATTTAGATTCAATCTAAATCTTATATGGATTGAACAATAATATAAACATGCTTAATATATGTTCTTAAGCGTTTTCTGTAGTTTTCTGCATTTTTCAAAGGTCTTTTATTGATTACAGTCTATATCGGACGTCCGATACAGATCGAACAATAATAAACGTGCTTAACATATGTTCTTTGAAAAGCGCAGAAAATTGCAAAAAAACGCTTAAGAACATATATTAAGCACGTTTATTATTGTTCGATCTGTATCGGACGTCCGATATAGACTGTAATCTAAATCGGACGTCCGCGATAAGTTCAATCTAAATCGGACGGAAATCTAAATCGGACACA